GTGGCCCGTTTATTCTGGTTCTCTTTCTCCTACTTCTACTGAAGCCCCTCAAACAGAATAGTCGGCATGGGTAAAGAAGAATGCCGAAGCCTACCTCTACCTTCTCAACTCAGTTCAAGACCAGCACGCCAAGTCGCTCCTGACATGCGCCAGTCATCGCGACAGTGCGAAGCGCGCGTGGGAGAGACTAAAAAGGCTCCATCAACCACGCATCGAGAGCACGAAGGCGGAAACGTGGGGGAAAATCTCCAACTTGCGAATGGAGCAGAAAGAGACACTCCCCGAGAACTTGGAGCGCGCGGAGATCCTCCTCAGCGACGCCGAAGTCATCGGAGCTGTCGTCCCAGAGGAGCTCTTCCTTACCATCGTGCTCGCCGGACTTACACCCGAGTGGACCCAGATGAGGAGCACAAATCAAGCCTTTCCTGAGGAGCAAAAGTCCCGCGACTTCATCTTCAACACCCTCATTGGAGAGCACCAGACTCGCGCGCTAGCCAAGACTAAGGAAGAGAACAACAAGCCACTGTGGGCCGCTGCTGTGTCTACTCAAGGTCGCGGCAAGTACAACAACAACCAAGGCAAGAACTTGCAATCACAACCGAGTAAGCCATCCAACCAATCTATTATAGGTCGTTTTCCCTCGTCCAATACATCTCCCAACCAATCATTCTCTTCAAGTTCATCCCAGTTCCCCAAGCCTCAGTCTGGCATGTTCAATTATGCATGTCATTTCTGTCATGAATGGGGACACCCTTGGTTTAAGTGCCCCCGTAAGCCGCCTAATTGGACCCCTCCACCTCACATGCTTACAGCCAAGGGTAGAGCTGCTCTATCTCATGCTGTGAGCTCTCAATCAGAGCCTGCTCAATTCCCCTCAACTCACCCCTCTTATCCACAGCAATTTCCCCAGCAACCGCTTCCCTACTCTTATTACCCAACACCGCCATACCCAATGTTTTACCCTTCACCAGTGCAAGGCTACCTATTTACGCCTCAACATGCCACACAATTTACGACTCCCAACTCTGCCCCCTCTTCTTCCTCCCAAGGCACTACACAAGGCATCAGCTTTGCCATGACTACCTCTGCTCCTACATCTTCATTCGATCCCAGAGTGTAATCCTTGAGATTAAGGGTATATATTTTTTCTATCTTGAGTGTACTACTAGTGCTGGTAGGGCTACAGGGGGGATCTCCTTAAGAGGAACAACTCCCTTAGAAGATTTTCGTTGTTCTCCCCTCACAGCACGTACTCACACCAACTGACGGAGGGGATATAACTCCCTTAGAAGGTTTTCGACCTTCTCCCCTCACAGCACGTTACTCACACCTTGTAGTCACCAACAGAGGGGAGACAACTCCCTTAGTAGATTTTCATTCTTCTCTCCTCACAGCACGTCACTCACACCTCGTAGTCACCAACAGAGAGGAGACAACTCCCTTAGTAGATTTTCGTTCTTCTTCCCTCACAGCACGTTTCTCACACCTCGTAGTCACCAACAGAGGGGAGACAAATCCCTTAGTAGATTTTCGTTCTTCTCCCCTCACAAGCACGTTACTCACACCTTGTTGTCACAAATAGAGGGGAGATAACTTACTTAGTGGATTTTCGTCATTCTCCCCTGACAGCCCCGTGCACGTTACTCACGCCCTTTTCGTCTTGTCCATACATCTCATGGTAGATTTTAACAGTGGCAGTGAAAAGGGTACTGTGTGAACGTACCCTAATGATTAATGGTTGCCTTCCGCTGGACCCTGAAAATTAAGGGTAAACTTTCAAGGAGCCCGATTTTTGAAGGGTGACTAAAAACCAAAAGTAAGCCCTAGTCGTATCGTGCTGCTTTGAGTCGGGTCTGCCCTTGTTGCGATTAGCGACACCCCTACTGTTCCTCTCTCTTGTTCCTCTCTCCTGTTGCTCTCTCCTATCTCCGTGGGGCCATTCGCTGGCCAATTTTTCACCGGCACGGCGAGTGAAATTAGGTATGGGGAACATCGATCGAGGCTTCGTGGGTTCGCCGAACCCAATTTGCGAAACGTGACGTCAGCATGCGAAAACGTTGCGTCGGTTCGGTTTCCCCAAACCAATTGCCCCCAAATCGCGTGCTCCTTCTCATGCCAAACCCGAAGCGCGGCCATCAGCCGCCCAGAGCTGCCAGGCAAACTCCGTGCCACACCTCATACTGCAAAATCGTGGTATGAGGCAGGCCAAGATTGGCATGCCTCTTGGCTGGGCAGGTTTACGAAACCCAAAAAAAAACCGCAGCCACTTCCCCTTCAATCCTACCCGTCGATTTGCGCAATTGCGCCAGCTCATACCCATCCAATCGGTCACATTTTGAAATGTTAAAAAAATGGGCAGTTTTGACAAAATTGTGTGAATCTCATTTTCTCCGCTAGATTTTCCACGAAAGTGCGATGGCCTAAGAGGGCTTTTGGTGGGCCCCACTCTTCACTGTCCGCGAGTTTGTCTTATCCAGTTCTGTAGTCGTGACAGGCGTAATCATGAGCCGGCGTCGTTATGATTACCAAAGTACGGGGGCACACAAAAAAATTTTACGTAGGTTTGCCTGCGCTGATTCCATGCGCGCGGGATTTGGTCGCCCGTTCCCCTCCCCGTTCCCCTCGGAAAATTGCCAGCGAACGGTCCCCGTGTCTCTGGCCTTGCTTGCGTGCTTGTGGTGGGCGGAGCCACCAAGGAAGCCAACCTCGAATGCAGGGGCCTGCGACGTGCGACGTTCTGCGATCTCTGGTTCTGCGATCTGCTCCCTTGAGCGTGCGACGCTGTGCGCTGTTTGAAGGAGAGGCGATGTTCTTGCGATTTCGACAGTTGGAGAGAGGCAAACAGTTGGGCAAAGTTTTGAGCCTCGCCGAATTACTTTCGCCAAATTGATTTCGCCAAGCCAGTTTCTTCGCTCAATCATATTTCCCATTTCCATCGCGAGCGTGTTACCTCAAATCAGTCGCCGCTCTTTATTCGCGAATGGAGTCCCTGCTGCTGTTCGGGATTCGGACGCGGTTTTTGCGTCCGACTCGCAGGATCACGCTCCGAACCTCGCTGAGTACCGTGTTTTACTATGCTCGAATTGTTTGGTACCGCATTAAAATGTTGTTAAACCCCTCAAGACAAACCAGTCCGAGGCCGATTTCGGCAAAACAGACGCAATGTACCGGGTCCTTGCAGTGCTGTGGCATCCAGGGTGGCCTGCTGTGGTGTGCGACCTGCTGCGATGTGCGACGGGGCAGCGATGTATGTGCGATCGGAGGAGTGAACGAATTCCGAGCGACTGTTACGCAAGGTTCGTTCCGAAGCTCGCCAGCTCACTTTCGTCAATTCTGGTTCGCCATTCTCGTTTCGCAAAACCAGTTTCTTCGCTCAAACCCAATCTCAATCTCCGTCGCAAGAGTTCGCCTCAGTCGCCGTTCAGTGTTCTGCGAATTCCGTCCGTTCCGCTGTTTCCCAAGCCTCGTTATTGTCACACCGAAAGCCCCACCCCTCGTTATTTCTGTAACCCCTTCGTTCAGATGCGAGCGATCAAGGAAACCTGGCACCGTGCCGTCGCGTTGTGGCGTGGCGAGATGGTCGTCCGTGCGTCTTCGCACGGGGGAGATGGCTGTGCGGGCGTCGTCGCACGGCGAGACGGTCCTCCGCGCGTCGTCGCGCGGCGAGATGGTCGTCGGGGCATCGCCGCACAGCGAAACGGCCGTCCGTGCGTCGTCGCGCGGCGAGACGGTCGTCCGCGCGGTGACTTCACTCCGCGCTCGCGCATGGCTGCTGCGGGCTGCCTGGTGAGAGCATGCAACTAGCTGTAGGGGGGGCGAGTAGGCAAGGTCGCCGCTGCACCTGGTAAGTGCGCCTCGAGTCTCATGCGCTCTCTGCTCGAGTCTGCGTCTTCCCTCCTGCTGGCGCTAACTGTGTTTGTGTGCGCTCCCTGTTCCCTGCCTGTGTGCCTGATGAGGGGAGGAGAGGGGAGAGGGGGGGAGAAGGGGGGAGAGGGGGGGAGAGCCTCTTTCTTCCCCCTCCACCCTCCCCGCCTTCCCTCCCTCCCTGCCCCCCCCCTTTCCCTCGCGCCCTCCCTCCTTCCCTCAGGTGGGAGCATGGAGCAGTCAGGAGGAGCAGCGGCGGAGAGGAGAAACAGGCTGAGCGGAGCACCAGTCAAATACTCGTTGCTGCTGCTAGCCTCTGCCTCTCCCTCTTCGTCTCCCTTCCTCGCCTGGTAAGTGTGGAGAGTAGCTGTAGGGGGGGCGGGCAGGCCACTGTCTAGGCCGCTGCTGCACCTGGTAAGTGCGTCCCCAGTCCCATTCGCGTTCTGCTCGAGTCTGCGTCTCCGTCTTGCTGGCGCTAGCAAGTGCTTCTCTTGCTGCTGGCCTGCTGTTTCCCTTCCGCTTTGGGGGGGGGGGGGATGCTTCCAACCCCCCACCTCTCCCCCCTCCCCCCGTGCCTCCCCTCCTGCAGTGATTGCAGCTAGAGGAGCAGTGGCAGCAGCAGCGGTGCACGGATGGGGGGACGGCAGCAGCGCATTATGGTGCAAGGGAGAGTATCTAGGGTGGACTTGCCTGCAACAGGTGAGGCTCCTTCTTACCTGCTCTGCTCCCACACTTTCTCTCAGTTTTCTTGGTCACACTTGTCTCAAAATGCCGCCGCCGCTGGTTGGTGCCGCCTCACAAGCCACAGACCCCCCTTCCCCCCCCCCCCCTCCCCCCTTCACCTACAGCAGGTAAACCCCTCAGGTTCAGCCTCCCCAAAGCCTTACAGCCCCCTCAGGTTCACCCCCTCAGGTTCACCCCTCAGGTTCACCCCCTCAGGTTCACCCCCTCAGGTTCACCCCTCAGGCTCACCCCCTCAGGCTCACCCCCTCAGGCTCACCCCCTCAGGCTCACCCCCTCAGGCCTGTGCATCTGCTGCTGCAGCAGCAGAGGGAGTAGGGGCAGCAGGCGGGCACTTGAGTTGAGTGGCCTCAAGGCCTCGAGCAAGCAACCAGCTAAGTACTCTCGACTCCCTGCTTCCACCATGCCGTTCACCACCTTGCCTTTCACCACCATGCCGTTCACCACCATGCCGTTCACCACCATGCCGTTCACCACCATGCCGTTCACCACCATGCCGTTCACCACCATGCCGTTCACCACCATGCCGTTCACCACCATGCCTTGCCTGGCCTTGCCCCTGTTTCTGTCATTCGTGTCTTTCCTTTCATCCCTTCATTCGTTTCATCCCTTCATTCGTTTCATCCCTTCATTCGTTTCATCCCTTCATTCGTTTCATCCCTTCATTCGTTTCATCCCTTCATTCGTTTCATCCCTTCATTCGTTTCATCCCTTCATTCGTTTCATCCCTTCATTCGTTTCATCCCTTCATTCGTTTCATCCCTTCATTCGTTTCATCCCTTCATTCGTGCCACTGGTAGCAGTGCAGTGAACAAGCCACAGACCCCCAGCCTAACTGCAGGTATTGCAGGTATACCCCCTCAGGTATTTCAGGTATCCCCTCAGGTATCTCAGGTATACCCCCAGGTATTTCAGGTGTACCCTCAGGTCAAGCCTAAACCCCCCCCACCCCCCCCCTCCCCCCTGGGTCTGTGGCTTCTAGATGAGACTGTACCAGTGGCCCCCTCCCTTCGTCCTCTCTCTTCTGCATTGCTTGCACATCTCGATTCCCATCTGCCTTCCTCTCTCTCCTCGACCTAACTACCTCCCTCTCCCCTCCCCACCCGCCCCTCTCCCCTCCCCACCCGCCCCTCTCCCCTCCCCACCCGCCCCTCTCCCCTCCCCACCCGCCCCTCTCCCCTTCCCTCCCCTCCCCGTCCCCCTCTCCTCCCCCCTCCCCCCTCCCCCCCATCCCCCAGCAGGCCCTCTGCTGGCGGATCTGCAGGCGCCTGTGCAGTGGCTGCTGTGACTGCAGGGGGAGGGGAGGGGAGGGGCGTGAAGTGGGTGCTGTGAAGCGCTTGAGTGGCGGGGGGGAAGCGGAGAGGGCTGGGGGTGCCAGCTGGGAGCACACGAGCAGCCACAACAGATAAGTACACCCACACGCCTTCCTTCCCCTCACTTGCCCTTGGCTGATTTCACTCTGGCATGTGGTCACACATGCATGTTTCCAATTTTTGAGACGCCTCAAAAATCGTCTGGCATGTGGTCACACATGCATGTTTCCGCACCTCGTCACTCCATGATCCATCCATGCTGCTTTTGAGCCGACTCAGAAGCTCCTCACTTGCCTTTGACTGCTTTCGCTCTGACATGTCACACATGCATGCATGCATCCGCACCTCATCACTCCATCCATGCTGCATGCCGCTTGAAACCAAACCACTTGCACCAGCCTAAGCTCACATGGTGCAGACCCCTTCCCTCTCCCCCATGATTCCAGGTATCCTCCCTCCATTCCCCCCCCCCCCCCCCCCCTCCTAAAGGTTAAGCCAACCCCTTCACTCTTGTTTTACCTCCTTACCCTAGGGTCTGCACCATGTGCCTAGTGCTGCTCCAGTGGTCCCTCTGCTGCTATCATCTGCCACCCCGCCCATGCAGATCCTCTCACGCTTCTACCCCTAGCCGATTTCTCACTGCTCTACAGCTTTCCCCTTGCAGGTTGAGGGGAGGGGTGTGGGTCAACTCCCCACACCCCTCTCCTCACAGCAGGAGGAACTCTGCCACGAGGGAGAGTATCTGGGGTGGGGTTAGCATCTCACGGTAAGCGACTTCTCACCAGTCCCTCCCCTCCTACTGCTGCTGATTATACCCGTTCACTGGCCTTCCAAACCTTGCTTGCTTTGGCTTTTTTGTGTCCCTTCCACTCACTCCTGGACCTGGCCACCTCCTTCTTAACCCCTCTCCCCTCCCCTTCCCCTTCCCCGCCCCTCTTCCCTCCCTCCCACTGCAGCAGAGGAAGCTGAGCAGCTGGCAGCAGCAGCAGCAGCACCAGCAGGAGGAACGCTGCCACGGGGGAGAGCGTCGGGGGTGGGGTTGGCCTCTCATGGTAAGCCTCTATCCACCAGCCCCTCCCCTCCTACCTACTGCTGCTGATTATGTCCATGTTCATTATCTCTTTCCAACCTTATTCAAAATTTCCATCTTTCTGTTGTTGTTGTTGTTGTTGTTTTTTTTTTTTTTTTTTTAATGTTTTTTTTTTTTTTTTTTTTTTTTTTTTTTTTTTTTTTTTTTTTCTGAATCCATTGGCTGCTGAAAGGCCTGCACTAACTTGTTCTCTGTGTGCTTCACTGCGTCTCCCTTTTCCCCCCACCAGGTCACATGGTATCAGAGAGGAAGACTGCAGCAGAGGAAGCTGAGCAGCTGTCAGCAGCAGCAGCCGACAGCAGCAGCAGCAGCAGAAGCAGCAGTGGGGGTTGGGTGGTTAGCGGGCAGGCTAGGGCTAGGAGTGAGCGAGGTATGGTACCAGGTAAGGTACCAGGTATGGTCATCTCACCCCCCTGCTTCGTTCCTACAGCATGTGAATCTGGAGCCTTGGAGCAAGGGCAGGATTATGGATGGAGCCCACCCCCCCTCTCACTTCCTCTCCTCCCTCTTTCCCCTTCCCCCAGTAGCATCACGCCTTGAGGAAAGGAAGGTGCAGCCCCCTCCCCGCCCTCACCTCCCCTCCCCCTTACTTGGAGTTAGGGCAGGAGCATGGAGCCCAGCCCCCTTCTCACTTCCTCTCCTCCCTCTTTCCCCTCCCGCCAGCAGCATCACGCCTTGAGAGGAAAGGAAGGTGCCGTCCCCACCCTACCCTCACCTCACCTCCCCTCCCCTTCCCTAGCAGGTTGCAGGATCATGGTGCCCCATTCGGCTATAGTAGGTGGAGGTAAGGGGCTGCTGAAGTAAGGGGAAGGGGGAAGGGAAGGAACGGGGGTGGGTGGGGGGGGGGGACGGAGCATAGGAGCAAGCATGTCGCTCACTCCCTTAGGGGCAGCACCCTCTGTGGATCCTGCCGTGTTGGTCGGGTGTGGCCAGTGGAAAATGTGTTTTTGAGATTTCTCAAAAACACCCTGCAAAATCGGGTGTGGCCAGTGGAAAATGTGTGGCACGGTAGTCGGTGCTCAAGTACCAATACTGGCGTATCGTATAATGGAACCGGCCAGAGCCGTGCGCGCCGGCTCTGGTTGGGAGTCCCCTCCTACGACGCATCACGTAAGCGGGATTTGAGTCTTGGGCCGCCCGTGCATTTTCCACTGCCACTGCTCGCACCCACAAGGTGGAGCCATGGGGGGTGCTGTTTTCGAAGGGGAGTGGGTTGCATGCTGCTCCTATTGCTGGGAGGGGGATGGTGGGGAAGGGGAAGGGAGGGAGGGGGAAAAGGGGGAGGGGGAAAGGGGGGGCTGGGAGGTAGACTGGGCTGCTGGTGGTGGTGGTAAAAGGGGGTGTTGAAACAGTGATGCTGCAGGGATGAGCTGACTGAGGGGCAATGCAGGGCGGCTGCATCTACCACCCGTGTAAGTTGAGTGAGAGGGAGATGAGAAAGGGTGCCTGAAACCCCTCAGGGTGACTAGAGTGATGGGCAATGGAGGCGCCGCCGCTGCAAGTTGAGTGAGAGCGAGATGAGAAAGGGGGCCTGAAACCCCTCAGGGTGACTAGAGTGGTGGGCAATGGAGGCGGCTGCAACCACCGCTGCAAGTTGAGTGAGAGCGAGATGAGGAAGGGGCCTGAAACCCCCCAGGGTGACTAGAATGGTGGGCAATGGAGACGGCTGCAACCACCGCTGTAAGTTGAGTGAGAGGGAGATGACAGGGGGGGACTGAAACCCCTCAGGGTAACTAGAGGGATGGGCAATGGAGGGGGGCTGTAGGAGAGACGGGTACAGTGAAGGGCGATGGATGGTCGGTGAAATTCCCATGGTAGGGCGAGAGCAAGGCAGGGGGAGGGGGTTGCAACTCCCTGGGTAAGGCTGGCGAGGGGCAGGGGGGGAGAGGGGGTTTGAAACCCTCGGGTTAGGGCGAGCAGGTGCCAGAGGAACCCCCCTCCTCTGCCTTTGGTTCGCCTTAGCCCAGGCGGTTCATCCCCCCTCTCTTGCCTCTCAATCGCCTTACCTTAGGAGTTTCAGCCCCCCCCCCCAATGTCTTACCCTTGCTTACTCTAGAACTTTCACCCCCTGGCTCTGCACATTACTTTCCTTGGGCAGAGAAGGGAGAAGAAAGTTGAGTGAGAGGGAGAGGAAAAATGGGCCCTGAAAGCCCCCTGGGCGAGTTTAAAGTTAATTGAGGGGCAAGGGAGGGCGGTTGCACCTACCAACGAAGTATGTCGGGTGAGAGGGGAGGAGAAAGGGGGCCTGAAACCATCAGGGTATGTTGAGTGAAGGGCAACGGAGGGAGGCTGCTGCAACCATGAGACAAGAGTAAGCTAGTTGTGAGAGGAGCGTGCAATGGGGGGCTGTTACAAGGATCAACAGTGTAAGTTGAGAGCTGGGTGATGAGACAAGGGGGCCTGAAACCCCCTGGGTGAGTTGATTGAGGGGCAATGGGGGGCTGCTACAACAACCCACTGTGTAAGTTGAGAGGAGGGTGATGAGACATGGGGGCCTGAAACTAGACATGAGCAAAACGCGATGCGATACTCATGTACCGTGTTACTCATGCGATACTTTATCGCACCGTGTTTTGCTCATGTCTACGTCCTTCTAAGGCGCTCGCGTCCAGTTAAGGGTGCTGGCATCCAGCTAAGGGTGCTGGCGTCCAGCTAAGGGGGCCGGCGTCCAGCTAAGGGGGGGTGGCGTCCAGCTAAGGGTGCTGGCGTCCAGCTAGTGGGTTCGATGTGAGGGAAAACACAGGATTCGATCCGCAGACCCCAAGTGACAGGGTGAGGCAAGGGAGGGGGTTTCAGACCCCAAGTTACATTGTGAGGCAAGGGAGGGGGTTTCAGACCCCAAGTTACATTGTGAGGCAAGGGAGGGGTTTCAGACCCCAAGTTACATTGTGAGGCAAGGGAGGGGTTTCAGACCCCAAGTGACAGGGTGAGGCAAGGGAGGGGTTTCAGACCCCAAGTTACATTGTGAGGCAAGGGAGGGGGTTTCAGACCCCAAGTTAGATTGTGAGGCAAGGGAGGGGTTTCAGACCCCAAGTTACATTGTGAGGCAAGGGAGGGGGTTCAGACCCCAAGTTACATTGTGAGGCAAGGGAGGGGGTTTCAGACCCCAAGTTACATTGTGAGGCAAGGGAGGGGTTTCAGACCCCAAGTAACATTGTGAGGCAAGGGAGGGGTTTCAGACCCCAAGTTACATTGTGAGGCAAGGGAGGGGGTTTCAGACCCCAAGTTACATGGTGAGGCAAGGGAGGGGGTTTCAGACCCCAAGTTACATGGTGAGGCAAGGGAGGGGTTTCAGACCCCAAGTTACACGGTGAGGCAAGGGAGGGGGTTTCAGACCCCAAGTTGCAAGGTGAGGCAAGGGAGGGGGTTTCAGACCCCAAGTTTCAAGGTGAGGCAAGGGAGGGGGTTTTAGACCCCAAGTTTCAAGGTTAGGCAAGGGAGGGGTTTCAGACCCCAAGTTACACGGTGAGGCAAGGGAGGGGGTTTCAGACCCCTAGTTACAGGGTGAGGCAATGGCGGGGATTTCAGACCCCAAGTTACAATGTGAGGCAAGGGAGGGTGGTTTCAAGCCCCAAGTTACAAGGTGAGGCAAGGGAGGGTGGTTTCAAGCCCCAAGTTACAAGGTGAGGCAAGGGAGGGTGGTTTCAAGCCCCAAGTTACAAGGTGAGGCAAGGGAGGGGATTTCAGACCCCAAGTTACAATGTGAGGCAAGGGAGGGTGGTTTCAAGCCCCAAGTTACAAGGTGAGGCAAGGGAGGGTGGTTTCAAGCCCCAAGTTACAAGGTGAGGCAAGGGGAGCGGGTTTCAAGCCCCAAGTTACAAGGTGAGGCAAGGGGAGGGGGTTTCAGGCCCCAAGTTACAAGGTGAGGCAAGGGGAGGGGGTTTCAGGCCCCGAGTTGCCGGGTGAGGGCGAAGGAAGGGACAAGGCTGCAACCCTTACCCCCCAGGGTAAGTTGAGTGAAGGGCGAGGGGAGGAAGAGGGCTGAAACCCCCAACCAAAGGTATGTCGAGTGACGGGAAAAGGGAGGGAGGTGGCTACACCCTCACTCTGACCGCCAGAGCCCTGCCTCTGACCACCAGAGCGGTGAGACCTGAGGGGGTGAAACCTGGGGAGGGGGGGGGTGAGTTCTGGGGGGGTAAGATTTTAGGTTGGTGAGGGGGAGACCTTAGGGGGGAAGACCTGGGGGGATAAGACCTGAGGGGGTGAGCCCTGAGAGGGGTTGAGACCTGGGGGGGTGAGATCTGAGGGCGTGAGACGTGGGGGTGTGACACCTGGGGGGGTGAGACCTGGGGCAGTGAGACCGGGGGGGTTGAGACCTTAAGGGGGTGATAGCTCAATGGGTGAGACCTTAGGGTGTGGGACGGGGGGGGGGGGAGTGAGATCTGGGGGAGTGAGAGCTGGGGGAGGGAGAGCTGGGGGAACGAGAGCTGACATTGCCGGTTCATTGACGTGCTGTCCAAGGCCCTGTTTTGTCCATGCCTTGGCTTTTACGCTGTAGAATCTGCTAAGTTGGTGGTTGCCTTTAGCCCGAGCTACCGTAACTCGGACCGTATGCACTGTTATCATGTATGGACGTGTACACCATTACCTGTTACCGAAACATTATGTGACAAACTTCATTACCTGTTAATTTAACTAAAATCAAACAAGGTCAGACATTCATCCTGGTTGTTGGACAGTGAACTCACTGTTTTCTAGGCACCTAAAAAATAGTCGGATTCATCCTGGTTGTGGAGCAGCAGACTCACTCAGAGCCGTGTGAGTCTCATCCTTTCTTGCACCACTGAATGAATTTCTCTTGAGAGAGTTTCACGGAATCTTTGCATGTCACTTACCGTAACCACGGAGTGCACAACTATCTTTGGGTCTGGTGCTCAGAGCAGACCCTTTCTCTTTCGTGTGGAAGAGAGCACTGGTTTCTTATGTCTGGAGGGTTGCAATAGCAAATGCTTTACAAAAGTGCAAATCGAGCTATGGTTGTAGTATATGTCTACGCTTCTCTTCTTAACTTTACTGTAGGTACCAACTTCGGTGTTCGATATTAACTTTGTTCCCGATATCTCCGAGTCGTGGTGCCATTCCCTTGGCTGGGAGAAACCATGCAGCCAGCCTGAGGTGTTGTTGTCCTATCTGGTAGGTAGGGACTTGCATTATCTCGGTCCCCTGTTCCTTAGCCAGTCGCTTCCACATCGCTGCGCGTTGCTTAGGGGTCCTGTGCTTGTTTTCTTGCACTGGCAGCGCTTCGTCTGCCGGTGAGCGCATAGGAAAGGAGGTCGAGGTTGGTAACGACCTTGATATGAACGAGCGGCGGTTGAATCTCAGCCGTTGATCACCTTTGCGCCGCACGGAAGACCATGTACGTGTGATGCGATGTTGTAGTATCTTTTCATTCTAAGCAAAGTTTAGCATCCGGTTTTGTAACTTCCTTTTTTCCTACTTCATGGTTTAGGATTATTTTGACATTTTAATTCAATTTCTGCTCTAGGGTTTCCCGATCTTGGTTTTTATGGATCCGGAAATTCCAGAGCGGAAAGACCCGTCTGCTGAAGCTACGGCCAGCATTTCTGGAAAGCACTATTCCGATGATAGATCGACGGCGGGGAGGAGCTTTGGAGATGCGCGCGGGGGAGGACGGAGATCGGACGGTGGTGATCATCGCGAGGGCGAGAGGGGGAGAGGAAACTACCAGGAACGTTCGGCCAGAGGATCTATGATGGGCTCTGGTCCGAGAGCGTCTGATTGGATCCACGACCCAAGGGACGGTGGAGATTCGGCGATATATGACAAGGAGAAGGATGACCGTGGATTACCGCCGAGGGGGCCTGGAGACAGGAGAGGGGGAGGCGGCGTTAGGGTTTCGAACGAGGATTTGCGAGAGAGGCTGAGGGGTAGGGGACACGACAGGGACAGGAGCAATGACAGGAACAGTGACCGGGACAGGGATAGGGTTAATGACACAGAGAGGGAAGGGGAGGAGGCTAGCGGTGAACGGCGGGATGTGCGGATTGTGAGAAATCCCCGTGAGGAAAGCGAGCGGGGCGCTACAGGTTCGGGTGTTTCAGGCTCGGGCGCTTCAGGTTCGGGATTCAGAGACTCGAGGGAAGGGAGCGGTGGGCGGGGAGGTTGGGTTGGTGGGCGTGGCAGGTTCGGCGGGGAGGGAAGAGGAGGCGGCAGAGGGGGCGGAGGGGGGAGATTCGTGGGAGGAAGGCGTGAGCACGCGAGCAGGGATGCGCGAGGGAGGGGATATGGAGACCGTGGGATGGAAAGTAGGGGAGTTTACGGGGAGGGAAGAGCGGCAAGGAATGGCAGAGACGCGGGAGACGGAGGAGATGGCAGGGTGGGTAGGGGAGAGGAGCAGAGGGAAGAGAGGAGAGATGAGAGGAGGGATGAGAGGAGGGAAGAGTGGAGAGAGGAGAGGACGGAGGAGAGGAAGGATGAGGGGAAGGAGGAGAGGACGGAGGAGGGGGGGCACAGGGATGGTAACACGGTAACACGCAAAGGGGTCTGGTCTAGGTTGGGCGCCGAGGGTCGTGAAAGAAGCACCGAACGAGGTGGGAGTGACATGGGGAGCAGAGAGAGGAGCGAAGAGAGGGGGAGTGTGGAGAGGAGGGGTAGTGACGAGAGGAGGGGGAGAGTGGAGACGAGAGGGGATGTGGAGAGGAGGGGTAGTGGGGAGAGTTGGGGAAGTAGAGAGAGGAAGGGAAGTGTGGAGAGAGCGGGAAGCAGGGAGCGGGAGAGGGAGCGGGAGGGACGGCCGTACCCCCATCGCTGGCAGAGAGACTCGCCCTCACACAGTCACAGCAAGGGGGACTCTGACGGGCGTGACAATAGTGAGAGGAGGGTGAGGAGCTTCCAGGCCGGCCGAAGTCCTCTAAGTGTGGAAGGGAACGCTGGAAGAGGCGTTGTTTCAAGAGATGGTTCAGGAGAAAGGAGTGTTTTTTCCAAAGGCGGTTCAAGAGAGAGAGACTTGAAGGGCAGTCGGCTAGGGGCGGAGCCAAGAGTTCGTCCGAGCTTTGGGGACCTGGAGGAAGGGGAGGAGGAGATGAGGTGGGATGGGGAGGAGCGGGAGGTGGAGGAAGGGGAGGAGGGAGTGGAGGGGGAGGATAGGGCTAGAGTGCACAAGGGCTTTAAGGGCGATGCGCGGAAGGACGAGAGCCCAAGGAGGGGCAGGGTAAGGGAAGATGGAGAAAAGGAAGTTGGGCTCTTGGGAAATGTGGGTAGGGCTGCTGCTGCTGCTGCTGCTGCTGAGGAGGAGGAGGAGGATGGGGAGATGGGCGGTGGGGCGTGGGGGGAGAAGGAGGGGAGGACGTTGGGGGGAGAGGAGGGGGAGATAGAAGAGGGCGAGTTTGAAGAAGGGGCGGGGAAAGAACAGGGTCGCTACGGAGAGGTTGGCTTACACGAGCGTGATTGTAAGGAGAGGGACTGGATGGATGACTTAAACGAGTTGGATGAGGGGGCAGAGGTACGAGAGGGGGTTCAGGGTGGAAAGGCAGGGGCTGTCGATAGGGATGGGGGGGGTAGAGGGGGGTATGGGGTGGAGAGGCAGGGGGAGGCTGACATGGTGGTCGAGGAGCGGATGCGGGGGAGGGAGGAGAGGGGGAGGGAGGAGAGGGGGAGGGAGGAGAGGGGGAGGGAGGAGAGGGGGAGGATGAGAGAGGAAAGGGCGAGGGAGGAGGAAAAGAAGGGGGAGGAGGAAAAGAAGGGGGAGGAGGAAAAGGCGGGGGAGGAGGAAAAGGAGGGGGAGGATGGGGAGGAGGAGGAGAGGTTGGATTGGGGGGAGGGGGAAAGTGAGGAGGAGGAGCAGGATTTGTGGGGCAGTGAGAGGGAGAGGGAGGTAGGGGAAGAGTTTAGAGGCTCAAGGGAATTGGGGGGTTTGGGAAGGGAGGAGAGAAGGGAAATCGGCAGTGGGAGGGAGGAGAGGAGGACGGAAAGGGGAGGGGCTAATGCAATGGATGTGGATGTATCTCCCCACGACAGGCAACGTCCAGCGGTGGAGAAGGGTGGAGAGGGGGACTGGGAGGTGAAAGGGGAGTTGGAAGGAGCTGAGGGTGAGAAGGGGGGAGAGATAAGACAGTATTTTGGTTCCGCAGAGCGGAAAGAGCGAACAGCGGATGGGAGCCTTACAGTTCTAAGGCAGCAGGCAGAGGTTGCAGGTCAGCAGGGTTTATCACAGCCCAACGCAGTGGGACGATCTCCCACAGGGCTACCTACAGGTTTTTCTACCGAGAAGGGCCAACGAGTGAAAGATGCTGGTGCGGCAGCAAGAGGTGCTCCCAAGGGTGAGAGCAGCAGCAGCAGCAGCAGCAGCAGTAGTGAGGAGTCATCGGAGTTGTCGCTGTCGTTAGAGGCGTCTGACCTGAGGGATAGTGCAGAGAGCGAGGAGGGGGAGGAGACGTGGAGGAGGGGGCGGGCTGGAGGGAGGAGTGAGGGGAGGAGTGAGGGTAGGAGTGAGGGGAGGAGTGAGGGGAGGAGTGAGGGGAGGAGTGAGGGGAGGAGTGAGGGGAGGAGTGAGGGAAGGAATGAGGGGAGGAGAGAGGAGAGGAATGGTGATGATGGGGGTGGTGGGGCAGGGATGGGCGTGCGAAAGGGCTCCAGGGGTGATCTGAGCGAGTTGGGTAGAGGAGAGGGTGGGAAAGTGAGCGAGGTGGGGACGGAGGAGGGGGGAGGAGCAAGTGGCAGTGGCGCTGGGGGGATGGGAATGAGGCGGGGCTCCAGAGGAAACCTGCGGGAGTTGGAAAGAGGGGAGGGCGAGAGAGGGGAGGGTGCGAGGGAGGGTGAGGGAGGGCAGGGTGAGAGGGATGGTGAGGCAGGAGGGAGGGGGATGGGGCTGAGGCGGGGCTCTAGAGGAAACCTGCGGGAGTTGGAAAGGGAGGGGGAGAGAGGGGCGGCTGAGAGGGATGGTGAGAGAGGTGGTGAGACAGGAGGGAGGGGGATGGGTGTGCGGCAGGGCTCTAGAGGGAACCTGCGGGAGTTGGAAAGGGAGGAGAAGAGAGGGGAGGGTGAGAGGGGTGATGAGGCAGAAGGGAGGGGGATGGGCATACGAAGGGGGTCTAGAGGCGATCTGCGGGAGTTGGAAAGAGGGGCCGAGAGAGGGGAGGGTGGAAGGGGCGTTGGTGTTGGAGCAGGAGGGAAGGGCATGGGCATGCGACGGGGGTCTAGAGGTGACCTGCAGGCGCTTGAGCGGGAGGAGGAGAGCACCCGCGGGGATTTGAAGAGGGGGCGGGAGAGAGGGAGGGGTGAGGGGGAGAGGGAAGATGTGGAGAGGGGGGGGAGCGATGGTAGGGGAAAAATGGAGGGGAGCAGAGATGGAGATCCGTGGCAGAGGAAGGAGGGGAAGGAAGGGAAGGAGGGTGTGAGGGGAAGGGATGAAGTTGCAGTGGTTAAAGGGGAGAGGGAGGAGGGGCGTGAAAAGGGGAGAGAAAAGGAGGAGAGGCGTGAGAAGGAGAGAGGAAGAGACAAGGAGCGTGAGAAGGAAAGGGAAAGGGAGGAGAGGGGTTATAAGGGTGATGAGAAGACGAGGGGGGAAAGAGGCAGAAGGAGAGAGGAAGGGAGAAGGGAAGAGAAAGAGAGGGGAAGGGGGCATGAGTCGGAGACGAGAAGAGAGCGGGGGGATGACAAGGAGAAGGAAAAACATGATGAGACAAAAGAGAGAAGGGACAGGGAGAGAGAGGGGAGAGGGCATAGCAGTGAGAAGGAAAAGGCACCGATCGCAGATTCCGAAAAGGGAGGGGAGCATGGGAAAGGGACCGAGGATGGGGAGGAGGAGGGTAGGGAGAAGGGCAAGGAGCACAGGCACAAGCACAGGGACAGGCATGGTCATGAGAAGGTGGTGAGTAGGAAGAGGGAGAGAGAGGATGAGGGGGAGGAGGGGAGGGAGAAGGGCAGGCTTAGGGATGGGCGCCGGGAGAGTGGTGGGGAGGGAAGGGAGGGGAAGGGAGAGGAGGACAGGGAGCGAAAGAGGAAGGACGAGAAGGGTAGGGATAGGGAGGAGTATGGCAGGGAAGGGAGGGGAGGGAGAGACAAGGAGGAGACGAGGGGTAGAGAGGATGGGCGGAAAGAGGGGAGGGGAAAGGAGGAGAGAGGGCGAGAAGACAGGGAGAGGAGAGAGACGGGCAGGGAAGGGAAGGAAAGAGACGAGAGGGGAAGGGATGCGAGGCGGAGGGACGAGAGGGTGGGCAGGGATGGGTCGGAGGGTCAGGAAGGAAAGGATGGGAGGGGGAAGGACGCTAGAGGGAGCAGCGATGCAAGGGGGAGCAGCGAAGAGCGTAAGAGGCCATCGTTCCGCAAGGCAGGAGACCAGGAGGGGAAGGAGAAGGATGGGGAGAGAAGGGGTGAGAGGATGGAGGAGGAGGGAGAGAGGAGGGGTGATAGGAATGGTGAGGACGGGGAGAGGAGGGGTGGGGGAGACGAGAGGAGGGCCAGTGGAGAGGCGCTGACTGGAAGGGACAGGAGCTTTTTGAAGCGGCAGGAGGAGGAAGGGAGGTCGGGTGATGGGCCTGGGGTGGGGAGAGGAAGGGGCTTGGACAGAGGCATGGGGAGGGGAGGCTTTGGTAGAGGCGACTTGGACAGAGGCATGGGGAGGGGAGGCTTTGGTAGAGGCGACTTGGATAGGGGTATGGGCAGGGGAGGCATGGGCAGAGGTGACTTCGATGGGGGTATGGATAGTGGTATCGGAAGAGGGGGCATGGGTAGTGGTGAGATGGACATGGGTAGGGGTATGGGCAGGGCAGGGATGGGTAGGGGCATGGGAAGGGGTGGCCGGGATAGTGACATGGGTAGGGGTATGGGGAGGGGCATGGGGAGGGACATGGGACGAGGTATGGGGAGAGAATTCGGTAGAGGTTTCGGTAGAGGGATGGGGCGGGGGGGATACGAGAGGGGACAGGATGGGGGGAGAGATGGGGGGGATGCGAGGGGCAGGGGCGGGGATACGTGGGGTGGGGAGGGGAGGGGGAGGGGAGGGGCGGGGAGGGGAGGGGTGGGGAAATGAAGCCAGGAGATAGCAAGACTGGGGGTGTGAAGCCTGAGGATGGGAAGGGAGGGGTGCTGGGTATGGCGCTAGCAGGAGCAGGCCCGTTGGCTAAGGCAAAGAGGAGTGCAGTAGAGGAGGAGTTGGAAGCGCGGAAGAGAGAGAGGATGAGGCAGATTGCAGAGCTCGCTAGGCGGGAGAGTGAGGCGGGGGAGGGGGAGGAGGGAGGGAAGAAGAGGGGGAGGATGGAGGGAGGGGAGGGAGGGGAAGAAGGAGAGGCGGAGGGAGAGGAGGATGAGGAGGAGGAGGAGGAGGAGGGAAGCGTGAAGAGGAGTAGGTGGGGAGATGCGGAAGGGGAGCAGATGGAGGAAGAGAGGGAGGGAAAGGCAGGAGAGGCTAGCACAGGGTCAGGCAGGGGTAGGAGGGCTGATGAAGGGTGGGAGGCGAGAGGGGAGGGGGGAGAGGGAGAAGTGACTGGTGGAGGGGAAAAGGAAGGGTTGTGGAGGGAGGATGAGGAAGCGGGGGAAAGGAGGGAGAGGAGGGAAATGGCAGCAGGTGATGAGGAAGAGGGACATGAAGGTGTTGGCGGGTCAAAATGGGGTAGCCGATGGCTGGAAGAGGAGGAGGAGGAGGAGGAGGAGGAGGAGGCAGAAGGGGGGCATAAACGAGCGGGAGGGGTAAGTGTGGGGAAGCGGACGGGAAAGGAAGTAGGGAAGAGCGAGGAACGAGGGACAAGCAGGACGCCAGAAGTTGCTGCGAATGTGAAGGGGAGTGGCGCAGGAGGAGGGATTGAAGCAGAAGGAACCCCAGATAAGGAGGGTAGATTCAGAGGCAGGGTGGATGAGGAGGAGGGGGAAGAGGAGGAAGACGGATCGCACAGGGGTGAGGACACGCCGCGTGTAACGCCGGGCGGGGATAAGGAGGGTGGCGGGAGCAGGAGAGGGGCGGAGGGCGGTGAAAGCAAAGGAGGGGACAATAAGGGGGGCGACAGTATGAAGTCAAGCGAAGAGAGAGGGGAGCAGGCGGATGCGGGAAAAGATGCAGGCGCTAAGAGTGAGGATGATGAGAACGAGAAGGGCGGTAAGGACGGGGAAGGCGGCGGCGGCAAGTCCCCTGTGCCTGATGACCTGGCGGCGGCAGTGGGCAGCATGTTCGGGGGCTGTCGCAGCGTGGACTCCTTTGAACGGCTGGATGTCCTCGGGGAGGGTGTCTACGGCGTGGTGCACCGCGCGCGCGACAAGGACACTGGGGCGATCTACGCCCTAAAGCGCGTCAAAATGGAGAAGGAGCGAGAGGGCTTTCCGCTGACGTCCCTCCGGGAGATTAATATACTATTGTCTTTAGACCATCCTGCGATTGTTGGGGTAAAAGAGGTGGTGGTTAACTCCTCCATGGACCGGGTTTTCATGGTGATGGAGTATGTAGAGCACGATTTAAAGGTGCTTTTAGACGCGATGCCCCGGCCGTTTGGGCAGGCGGAGGTGAAGTGCTTAGTGAAGCAGCTCTTAGAGGGGACTAGCTACATGCACGCTAACTGGGTGCTACACCGGGATCTGAAGACGTCGAATCTGCTTATGAGCAACACGGGGGGAATCAAGATCTGTGACTTTGGGCTGGCGCGGCAGTATGGCGAGCCGCTGCGAGCATACACCCAGCCTGTGGTTACTCTCTGGTACAGGTACGTGGTAACCCCACTTACGCCCTGTTACAGGTGTTATATTCTTGTGCCTGCTGATGAACGAACAACACGGGGGGGATCAAGATCTATGACTCGGGGCTGGCACGGCAGTGTGGGGAGCCGCTGCGAGCATACACCCAGCCTGTGGTTACTCTCTGGTAGAGGTACGTGGTTACCCTGTGGTACAGGTGGGTGTTACAGCTGACCGTCCCTGCTGCCATATTGCTTTCTTCAATTTCTCCTTGTGATTTCAGCTCTCATCACTCTTCCTCTCAAATCGTAAACCTGCTTTTGAGTCGACTCAATTTCAGCTCTCACCACTCCTCTCAAATCCCAAACCTCATCATTACCCCCTCCCCCCTCTTCCGTACCCCCCTGCTTATCTCTTCGTCTCTGCAAACTCCTCCCCTCACTCCCCTCGACAGAGCTCCTGAGCTTCTACTAGGTCAGAAGGAGTATTCCACAGCCATTGACGTCTGGTCCCTGGGCTGCATCACGGCTGAGATCATGACCAAAAGCAGTGACTAATTTCCCCTGTGACTTTTCCCTGTGCCTAACAGAGCTCCCGAGCTTCTACTAGGTCGGAAGGAGTATTCCACAGCCATTGACGTCTGGCCCCTGAGCGCCATCACGGCTGAGATCATGGCCAAAAGCAGTGACTAATTTCCCCTGTGACTTTTCCCTGTGCCTAACAGAGCTCCTGAGCTTCTACTAGGTCAGAAGGAGTATTCCACAGCCATTGACGTCTGGTCCCTGGGCTGCATCATGGCTGAGATCATGACCCGGAAACCGCTCTTCAAAGGCGAGTCAGAAATCGAGCAGCTGCAGAAAATATTTGCCCTCCTCGGAACCCCCACTGATGACACCTGGCGAGGATTTTCCGAGCTGCCCGCATGCAAAAAAGGTGTCAGATTCCCTTCTTTTACTGTCAATCGGCTGCGGGAGCTTTTCCCGGCGATTTCTATTGGTGGGAAACCGACGCTGTCAGAGGCCGGGTTTGATCTGCTGTCGCGGATGCTCACGTGCGATCCCAGCCGTCGGATCAACGCTGCCGATGCGGCGAACCACGCGTGGTTTCGGGAGGAGCCGCTGCCGAAAGCTCAGCAGGACATGCCACAGTTCCCGATTCTGAACGAGAAAGAACGGTATGGCCTCTTATCATAAATTCCTACTGATGCTTGCATTTGCACGAGCACTTCTTGCATCTCTGTTGTTTTCCCCTTCTTAGGCATGCCTCATTAGGTTGCCTCTTGTTGTCATGTAGTTTACTTAATGCCCTAGTGCAATTCTTCCTTCCGTTTCACTTTCATTATGTTTTCCAGTCGGCGTCGACGATCCTTTCGTAGCCCTGACCCACTGAAGGAGCTTCAGCGGCAGGAGAAGATGCGGGAAAAGTCAGGGCACACTGGCCTGTTTTCATAAGCGGTATATCCGCACATTTGGCTATTATACCATACGATTGTGTTGCATGTGTTGATCCAGCCAGAAGTCTGTTTTACGATACTAAATTCGAACATGTATTCTGGTTACGGTCGTACACATATCCAATGTCGCGTATACTTCTCTTAGAAGCCAGCCCCAACGCTTTCCTTGTCGGTCGGTGAAGGAATGTTGCGCCGCGGCGCGCACGATTACGCGGCGACCCCAGCCGCTTCAACTGCCCGAATCGCGAAGCTGAAGATTTATCGCGTTACGGCCGCTTCCTGGCCAGAACTCATTTGGCTCGGCTGCACCTGGTACCCCCTTCCTCGAAATTTTCGACGAGCGACCCGTCATCGCGGGCATCGACGGTCACTGCACAGTTCGAGAGTTCTGGTGTTGCTGGATGCAGGTCACGGGCAGAAAAATACTATTGGCGGAGTCGTTTGTGCGCCATCATTTTGGATGTTACACATGGAAGTGGCTCGTGTGGCTGACCTGTGCTGTGTGCGTCCGAACCAGAACCGCAATTGCCCCAGCGCGTGCTCACTCAGCGTCTTCAGGGGGAAATTCCCTCCGAACCTCGAACCTCGAGCAAGCATCATCTTGCTTGGAGATGACTATATTCCACCATACCTGGTGTGGAGTATAACGGTGGTGGAGCTTTCTATGCCCGGCTGTCTCCAGTTGCGGCTGATGCCCTCGAGCTTGCCATAGCTGTCGCTCATATGCCCTAGGGCTTATCGTCTCCTCAAGTGACATGACCTCGAATGTAGCTCGTGAAATGGTACGATTTGTAAACGGCAAATGTAAGCTGCCTCGTTAGGCGGAAAAATAGCTCGCCGGCGTTATCCTTACAGGTAGGTTCTCAAGGTTCTACGAGTCGTCCGTAGAATAACTCAGCACGTAGAATACGCCTGTCCAGTTCTACCGACTGCCGCCTAAAGTGTATGCTAACGCGGACCTTCCCGGTCTACCAACTCATTTCCCCGGTGGTAACCAGAACCACCGCGGCGAAGCTATATGACTGATCCGTCGCTTATTTTCGCCCGGAACATCTCACCAGATAGAGGGGTAGTCGCGTCAGGGTCGGAGAGTAGAACGCATTTTATTTATTCCAGACATGACTCTCCGAACCGCTCCTTCTTTCACACAGGGAGCCATGAACACGGCGGTAAAATAGCTAAAACACCTCGTAATCTTCCCCCAGCTAAATCACCTCGTAATTCTAGGTGCCGGAAGCTTCTTAAACGGGATGTGTTGGAGAAGACTGGGACTGGGCTTTCCTCGAGCCTAGGTTCCCGGGATAGGAGCAGCTCGAACGAGTCGAGAAAAGACACCAACACCTGCAGCGCACGTGGCAACTGCAGCGCACGTGGCAACTGCAGCGGCAACTACAGAAGTATTAACTCAGAGTTCGTTAGCCGGCAATGGCGGCATCGGTTGGATCCGTCGCTGCTGGTCGCAGTCCTTCTATCGCTCCTCGTGCCCGTGTCCCAAAGCGCCTCAGCACCGATGCCCTTTTCCCTTGGGCGCACGCGTCTCCGCTCCCTTGCGGATAGAGCGCCGGTAGCGGATATTTGCGCGGGCGCGTGCGGGAACCGCGAGTGGGAGGCGCTGAGCCCTTCCGCGACGAAGGGCAACTGCTCGTGCGTTCGGCCTCTGGAGCTGAAAATCGAGTTCTCTAACGCGTCGGATATCGAGTCCCATTTCCGGCCGTTTATCCAGGTAACGGGAAACCTCGTATCGGGTACAGGCTAGTAACGCAAATGTCAGTCACCCACTTTGCGACGAAGGGCAACTGCTCGTGCGTTCGCCCGCTGGAGCTCGAGATGGACGCGGTGGACATCGAGTCCCACTTCCGCCCGATAATCCAGGTGACGGGAAGGCTTTTATCGGGGACAGTACGGCTGATTTTTTTGTCGCCTTTTCCGGGTCTAAGGGCAATTGCGTGTGCGTGCGACTCAAAAGTGATCGCCGGGGCTGAAAATCGGTTTCGCACACTTCTTCGGTCGCGCTCCCTTTTTCCCCGCAGGCGTTATCACGGCAACTTTTGAGTCGACTCAAAAGTTATCACGGCAGCAGCCATCCTTGCAGGAAGATTTATCCAGCGAAGGGCGTTCCAAGACTAACTCACACCTTCCCCTTCCCTCTCGCGTTTCCTCTCCCTTTTTTCCCCACAGGCGTTATCGCGGCAGCCATCATTGCAGGAGGACCAGATCGGGCGAAGGTCGTTTAGAAACGAACTCACACTTCTCTGCCGCGCTTTCTCCCCCTCTCTTTCCACCCAGGCGCTATCGCGCCAGCTATCATTGCAGGAGGACCAGATCCAGCGACGGGCGTTGCAGCGAACGGAGGGAAGCAGCGCGGTAGTAACCCTGTTGTTACTGCCGCGCCAAAACGCCACCTTTTCTCCAAATTTCGTGAACAGCACTCGCCAACGGCTGTCGCGGCGCCAAGTAACGCTCGACCCTGACGTGTTTAGTAACTACACGTTGATTAGCCTGGTGCAGCTTACGCCGCCCCCCCCGCCCCCTCCCAGTAAGCTTCCCCTTTCCCTTTCCCTCCAGCAATCTCCCAAACACCCCCCCCCTCCCCCCCCGACCCTCCTTCCTCCTCCCCCCCTCCCCCCCTCCCCTTTCTTTCCCGCTTCTTGGGAAGGCGGCATGAAGTTAGGAGCTCAATCCGCGCCGGTTTGTTGAGTTCGGTGCATGGATGTCGGATATCGGATATTTCTTTGCCGTTGTGCCATGCTTTTCCCATTCCGCCAGCCCACTTCATTTGCCCCTTTTTCCCCATGCGTCTCCCTCCTCCATTTCCCCGCACCCGTTTCCGCGCTCTCCCCCCTTGCATCTGCGATCCCCGCCAGGCCCCGCACCCCCTCCGTCTCCCCCTCAGCCGCCTCAAACCCCCGCCCCCTCACCACCGTCGGATCGGCCCAGCTCAGAAGGCTCAGATGACAGATCCAACGGTGGAGGGAGCAGCACAAACACCAGCAACAATAGCAATGGTAGCAGTGGCAGCGGCGGCAGCAGCAGCAGCAGCAGCAGCAGCAGTGATAGTGGCAATAGTGGCAGTGACAGTGTAAGCAGTGGGAGCAGCGGTAGCAGCAGCGGGATCAGCACTGTAACACTGATAGGGTTACTCGCAGGCGCGACTGTGCTTATAGCGCTGATCGTTATAGTCACTCTCTACTGCTGCTGCTGCATGCCAGGGAGGGGTAATGGGGAGGATATGGAGAAAAGGGGCGAGGAGCAGGAGAAGGTTCGTCAGATGGTGAAGGAAGCTTCCTCCGCCGCTGCTGCCGCCAATGCTCCTGGAGGGAAAGGTGATAGTGCCTTTATCGGGTGTGATAATACTGAGAGTGACAGGAGAGAAGGGGGAAAAGGGGGAGGCGGAGGAGGGGGAGGGGGAGGAGGGGGAGGGGGTGTTTCTGTTGGGGATGGTGCCGCTGGCGGTGGGGGTGGGGGTAAACAAGACGCGTCCTCGCTCCCTCGACCAATGAGCGTCCGCGTCTTCTCCTTTGCTGAGCTGGCAGAGGCGACCAATAAGTACGTCCGTCCCACCCAGCCCACCCGTCCCATCCTTCCCTCTATCCTCCCACTCTCCCACGTTTGATCCCTCCCCTACCATCCCCCCCCATTTCAGTCTTTTTCAAAGCTAGTTTCGATACCTCTCCAATTCTTGACTTTTGAGTCGACTCAAAAGTCATCTTGTTTGGAACGTTGCCGATAATTGTTTGTTCCTCCCCCTACCCTCTTCTCCCATCCTCTTTCACCCCATGCACCCCATGCACCCCATGCGTGTACCGTGGCCGGCTAAAGAACGGCCTAGAGGTGGCCGTCAAGAGGCGGATCCCCCTGCACTCCCCTCTGCACCCGCTGCACCCCCTTCCCCCAATACCCCCCCCCCCCCCCCCCCCCCCCCCCCCCCCCCCCCCCCCCCCCCCCCCCCTTCCTCCCTCCAGCTTCGACCACGCGCACTATCTAGGGGAAGGAGGCTTCGGCCGCGTGTACCGTGGCTGTTTAAAGAACGGCCTAGAGGTGGCTGTCAAGAGCCTGATTCCCAAGCATCCGCTGCACCTGCTGCACCCCCTTCCCCCAATCCCAACCCCCCCCCCCCCCCCTTCGCCCACTCCAGCTTCGACCATTCGCACTATCTAGGGGAGGGCGGCTTCGGGCGCGTGTACCGTGGCCGACTAAAGAACGGCCTAGAGGTGGCCGTGAAGCGGCTCACTCGTCTGCACATGTCGGGGAGCGGGCGAGCGAAGGGAGGCGGCGGGCAGGGCGAGCGGGAGTTTGTGGTGGAAGTGGAGATGCTGAGCCGCCTGCACCACCGGCACCTCGTCAAGCTCATCGGCTACTGCGCCTCGCACCACCACCAGCTGCTCTGCTATGAGTTGGTCCCAAATGGGAGCCTTGAAGCCTGGTTGCATGGTGGGCGTCGCTTTCCCCTCTCTCCCCCCCCTCTCCTCTCTCTCCTGCCTCTTTTCTCTCTCTCCTTTCTGCCCTCTCCCTATCATTCACCCTCTGACCCGTCTGCTGCACCACCGGCTCCTGGTGATCTCATCTTTTGTGGTATTGTCGGTGCTGTCTCTCTCTCCCTGTCTGACCCTCCTGCACCACCACCACCTGGTGAAGCTCACCTCCACTCGTCTTTCACCGGGACCTCAACTCGTCCCACTCCACTTCCTCCCTTTCCCACTGCCCCAGGCTCGTTCGCCAAGTAAATCGTTTTGAATTGGACGACCCGGATGAAGACACCGCTGGGAGCTGCGAGGGGCCTCTCGTATCTTCACGAGGACTCCCAGCCGCTCGTGATCCATGGGGGGGGATCTCAAGCCCTCTCTTGCACTTCCCTCTCCCTCCCGCCACTGCCCCAGGCTCGTTCGCCAAGGAGATGGTTCTCGACTGGACGACCCGAATGAAGATAGCGCTGGGAGCAGCACGAGGGCTCTCGTACCTCCACGAGGACTCCCAGCCGCTCGTCATTCACCGGGACCTCAAGTCGTCCAACATCCTGCTGGAGAACAGCTTCCACGCTAAAGTGGCGGACTTTGGGCTGGCCAAGCCGGCTCCAGAGGGGCCGGAGGGGTACATCTCCACTCGCGTCATGGGGACCTTCGGGTGAGTCATGTGGTCATGCAGTCATGCGGTCATGTGGTCATGCGGTCATGCGGTCATGTGGTCATGCGGTCATGCGGTCATGCGGTCATGTGGTCATGCGGTCATGCGGTCATGCGGTCATGCGGTCATGCGGTCATGCGGTCATTGGGTCATGTGGTCATGGGGTCATGTGGTCATGTGGTCATGGGGTCATGGGGTCATGGGGTCATGGGGTCATGTGTTCATGGGGTCATGTGGTCATGGGGTCATGCGGTCATGTGGTCATGTGGTCATGTGGTCATGGGGTCATGTGGTCATGTGGTCATGTGGTCATGGGGTCAATTGAAGGCTTTGACGAGTCTAGAGCGGCTGGTGGTGATTCATGGGCATTTCAACACGAGCCATGGGCACGTTCGGGTTTGGGCACGTTCGGGTCTGGGCACGTTCGGGCTTGGGCACGTTCGGGCTTGGGCACGTTCGGGCTTGGGCACGTTCTGGCTTGGGCACGTTCGGGCTTGGGCGCGTTCGGGCTTGGGTGAGTCATGAGTTCAAGAACTAGAGCAGTTGCTTGTGAGAGGCTTTGAAGTAGTATCGTTTCGAGTCGACTCGACTTAAATCGAAACTACTTCACACATGAGGTCAGGACCTAGAGGTGAAGGGAAGTGGTGATGGGCAAGTGGTGATGGGCAAGTGGTGATGGGCAAGTGGTGATAGGCAAGTGGTGATGGGCAAGTGGTGATGGGCAAGTGGTGATAGGACCTAGAGGTGCCTGTAAAGGCAGCTCAAAGTGGGGAAGTGGTGATGGTGAAGTGGTGAAGGGAAGTGGTGATGGGAAGTGGTGATGGGAAGTGGTGATGGGAAGTGGTCAAGGGAAGTGGTGATGGGAAGTGGTGTTTGAGTTCTCAAATTCCCACAGAGCAGAGCAATCTAGTCGTTTAGCATCCTGCTGAGATGGGATGGGATGGGATGCGAAGCTCACCCTCTCCTTATCCACTGGAAATGAGCCCCCTTTCATCCTTCCTTCTCCCCTCTTGTCTTCCCTTCCCCAGCCCCCCATGCCCCAGGCATGTTGCCCCAAAATACGCCATGACCCGGCACCTGGTTTTGGCCAGCGACGTACAGCTATGGGGCGGTTTTGCTATAGCCGATCACAGGGAGGAAGTCAGTGGACATGAGCTGACTCCCCCTCTCATCTCCCTCTGCTGTCCTGGGCACCCTCTTCCGTGCCCTTACCCTTCGCAGTTATGTGGCGCCAGAGTACGCAATGACGGGCCATCTAGTAGTGGCCAGCGACGTGTACAGCTATGGGGTGGTGCTGCTGGAGCTGATCACAGGGAGGAAGCCAGTGGACATGAGCCAACCGCCTGGCGATGAGAACCTCGTCACATGGGCCCGACCGAGATTGTCGAATGCTGGGCGATTTGACGAGCTGCTGGACCCCAGGATTGCCTCGCAGGTAGGGCTCTGCTTGGTGGGGTGGTGACGCTGATCAATGTGCATCAATGTGCATCAATGTGCATAATTCTGCATCATTCTGCATCAATGTGCATCAATCTGCATCAATGTGCATAAATGTGCATAAATGTGCATAAATGTGCATCAATGTGCATCAATGTGCATCAATGTGCATCAATGTGCATCAATGTGCATCAATGTGCATCAATGTGCATCAATGTGCATCATTCTGCATCAACGTGCATCAAACATCATCAATCCGAAACCACACTTGTCAATGTGGATCAATGCTGATGTAGAACCATTCTTTTGATGCGGGTATCCCTCCTCTCCCCTCCCCTCCCCCCCCCCCCCCCAAAGTGCCCTTGTTCTCATCCATGGCAGCAATGGCAGAGGCATGTTGACGTATTGCCCAAAATGGCCCTCATTCGTTGTCTCGAACCCCCCCCCCTTCACAGCATGCCAGGTATCTTTTGAGTCGACTCAAAAGTCACCTCTTCGCAAGCGGCAGCGGTGGCGGAGGCATGTGCGCACACCTAAAACGGGCTCTCATCCCGTCTCCTCCTCCCCCCCCCCCCCTTCCCCTTCGCAACATGCCAGGTATCCCCTGGGGATCTGGAGCAAGCGGCAGCGGTGGCGGAGGCATGTGTGGCGGCTGAGCCGACTGAGCGACCTCCAATGGGGGAAGTGGTGCAGCTGCTCAAGAGACTGGAGGCCCTGGTGAGTGTGACACTGATGGGTGTGACTTTAACGAGAGTTACTGGTGTGCTGTGTTGGGTGACTGTAATGGGCGTGACCATGTGGCATGTGTGGCGGCTGAGCCGACTGACAGACTCCCTATGGCGGAGGTGGTGCAGCTGTTGTTCAAAAGACTGGAGGCCCTGGTGAGTGTGACACTGGTGGGTGTGACACTGGTGGGTGTGGCACTGGTGGGTGTGGCACTGGTGGGTGTGGCACTGGTGGGTGTGGCACTGGTGGGTGTGACACTGGTGGGTGTGACCCTGGTGGGTGTGGCACTTATGGGTGTGCGTGAGTAGTGAGAGTGATTGGAGAGGGTGTGAGTGAGCCGACTGACTGGCCCCCGTGGGGGAGGTGGTGCAGCTGCTCAAGGGACTCGAGGCCCTGGTGAATGGGACTGTGCTGGGTGTGTCAGTGTGAGTAACGAGTGCGACTGAGCATTTACCGCCCTCCTCACCTAGATCTTGCTCCCTAGTCCCTAGCACAGCTCTGTGCCACCACTCGCCCCCCGCTCCATCATCCCCTCTGTGCCAGCAGCACTTGCCCCCCTCTGTGCCAGCAGCACTCGCCCCTCTCCATCATAGCCTCTCTGCCAGTTTTGAGGCGCCTCAAAAGTAGGCTCCATCACCTCTCTCCGTTCCCTGCTGCTTTCCTCCATGCCTCAATACCTCATCCGTTCCCTCCCCCTCTCTCAACCATCCCCTCTCTGCACCATCGCAATACGACCAGGACCACTCAACTCTGAGCACTGACATCTCCCCCCCTACGGCTCCCTGCTGCTGTATTTTGAGTCGACTCAAAATGCCACTATCGTCTATCATCCCTTCCCCCTTCCCCACATGGTCCCCACCTGTTGCAGTACGACCAGGAGCGTTCCACTCTAAGCACTGACCTCTCCCCCTACGGCTCCTTGCCGCTATCGAACATAAACCTCAATTCCTCATCCCTCTCCATCTCTCCCCCCCCTCACTCCCTCCCACCGACGACAGCACGACCAGGAGCAGTCTACTCTGAGCACGACATCTTCCCCTACGGCTCCTTGGTGCTATCGAACAACATCTCTATCCCTCAACCTTCCCCATCTTCCCCTTTCTTTTCTTCCTCCTCTCTCTCCCTCCCTTTTCCTCCTCCTATCCCTCCCTCCCACCCACGCACGACAGCACAACCAGGAGCACTCGACTCTGAGCACCGACAACTCCCCTACGGCTCCCTGCTACTATCCCACTACCCTCTATCGCTCACCCCTTCCCTTTCCTCACATCGTCCCCTCCCATCGTCCACCGCAGTACGACCAGGAGCACTCGACTCTGAGCACTGACATCTCCCCCTACGGCTCCTTGCTCCTGTCAAACCAGCCTCTTCCCTATGACACGTATAACCTCCCCGACTGTAGCGCCGACCTTACAGTTGATGTGGCAGCAGCTAACCAGGGGAGTGGTCGTGGTAACGAGGGAGGCAATAACGAGGATAAGGAGGATGAGGAAGAATCTGCAGCTGCTGCTGCTTCTGCTGCTGACCTAGCAGCAGCATGTGACAAGGAAGCTAAGCATGCTGACAGTGACAATGGCAATCCCCGTGTTGGAAATAGCACTGATGGTGATCAAGGAAGGATTTGTATCATGATAGAATAGATGTGGTAGTGTGAAGGGAATTACGTTAAGTAACCTAGTAGTAAATGTGTTGATCTTGTGTGATGTGATGGATTGCTTATTAAAGTCTGAGTACCAAATTTATCAAACCTATTAGGTTTGGTGCTACCAGGACAGCGGGGGTTGTGCGGGAGGTTTGGCTGGCGAGCTTTGCGAGCTTGGGAAAACGCAGGCGAAGTAGGGAGTTGCAGAAAATTGGGTGTGGTGATCGACGGTGCAGAAAATTGGGTGTGGTGATCGACGGTGCAGAAAATCGTGGCCGACGGTGCTTGCGCCCTTTTTCCAGCCCACCAATTTCAGGGGGCTTCACACCTACCTAATAGATTTGGTCCTCAACTCGGGCAATTTGGAACTCGGGCTTTAAGAAGTGATCCAGTTCCTTCATAAACAACCTCCCTTGAGTTGAGTTGAGATACGGTATGTCTAGGAAAGAGCTGCACATGTCTGAGAAAGAACCGAGGATGTTACTAGGGAGTATGATAAACCTGGCTGCTTAGTGCATGCTGCATGCTCTTTGTTCCCCTCACACCTATTATTTCCCCACCTATTATCACACCTATTAGAAAAAATGGGCTGCTAGTAATCTCGCTCATGATGTGGGCTGGGCTGGGTCCTAAGATACGGGATGCAAGGCAGTGGGATGCACTGTACATGAGTCCATGTAATGGCGTAATGTAACACTGCAATCAGACAAACAGTCTTTATCACAACACAACACAGAATAAAAAAACCCCATCAATCAGAATCCTTCTTCCCTACTTCCGCACCCCCTAATCCGGCCTCAAGGTCTCTCCTTATCTCCCCTCTCCCTGCCCCACCACCAATGCTACCTGCTCCCGAACCTGATCGCTGCGGCCGAACCTGCTTGGGAGACTGCTTCGGTACAAGACCCACAGCACTGCTGCTGCTGCTTCCGCCGCTGGTGGTGGCGGTGATGGCTGCTGCAATGGGCGACGATGGGTAGAGGAGGGATGACATGCCCGCTAGCTGTGCCACCACTGCACATGCCATCACATAGGTCTTCCATCCCTGGAATGGGGGGGAGCGGGGAGAGGGAAGGGGGGAGAAAGGGAGAGAGGAGTGCACAGTTTATTAGAGAGAGGTGAGAGGACAATCCTACTGGCTGCTGCTTGGGGGACTACTTGGGCACTAGACCCATGGCACTGCTGCTGCTTCTGCCGCCGCTGCTGGTGGCGCTGATAGCTGCTGCCATGGGAGATGACATGCCGACTAGCTGTGGCACCACTGCACATGCCATCACAAAGGTCGGCCACCACTGTGGGGTGAATAGAGGGTGCAGGGAGCGGCGGGGTGGGGGAGGACATGGCGTGCAGAAAAGAGATGACATGCCCACTAGCTGTGGGGAGTGGCTAGTGGGCATGTCATGATGGTATGGTGGGTGGATGGTGATGAGGATGGTGATGAGGGTGGTGATGAGGGTGGTGATGAGGGTGGTGATGAGGGTGGTGATGAGGGTGGTGATGAGGGTGGTGATGAGGGTGGTGATGAGGGTGGTGATGAGGGTGGTGATGAGGGTGGTGATGAGGGTGGTGATGAGGGTGGTGATGAGGGTGGTGATGAGGGTGGTGATGAGGGTGGTGATGAGGGTGGTGATGAGGGTGGTGATGAGGGTGGTGATGAGGGTGGTGATGAGGGTGGTGATGAGGGTGGTGATGAGGGTGGTGATGAGGGTGGTGATGAGGGTGGTGATGAGGGTGGTGATGAGGGTGGTGATGAGGGTGGTGATGAGGGTGGTGATGATACGACAGGGTGTGGGGATGGATGGCGGGCCCATGAGGAGTGCCGATGTGATTGGAGGGACAATGGGAATGCGGGCCCCACCTTATTGCGAGGGTTTTGTTTGTCGAAGATCTTGAGAGAGAGGATGATGGCGATGAAGCCACACACTATCACCAGCCGCCCCACCTGGCAGGGGGGCAGGTTGGCATTGGGAGGGCAGGGGGGGGAAGGAGAGACCTTGAGTGACTGCCGCCCGACAGCATTTGTTGAGAGATCTTGAGAGAGAGGATGATTGGCGATGAAGCCACACAAAAGCATCAACCGCCCCACCTAGCAGGGGGGCAGGGAGGCAGGGGGAGGGCAGGGGGAGGGCGGGGGGGTGGGGGGAGGAGGAGAGACGTTGAGTGCCGGCCGCTCAGCGGCAAGTGTATGGATGGAAGACCTTGAGTGAGAGGATGATGTCGTCTAGTTTTGAGGCGCCTCAAAACTAGACTCCTATCACGGCGATGAAGCCACATACAATCACCAGCCGCCGTACCTGGGGGGCAGCAGGGGGGTAGAGGGGCAAGGAGGCAGGGGGGCAGTGGAGCAGGGGGGTGAGAGAGACCTTGAGTGCCTATTGCTCAGCAGCACGTGTATGGATGGAAGATCTTGAGAGAGAGGATGATGGCAAGGAAGGAAACCACCGACTATGACCAGCCGACTCACCTGGCAGGGAACGGGGGAGAAGGGGAGGGAAACTTGAGAAACCGTAACTCATCAGGGATGTTGAGAGAGAGGATGGTGGCGGGGAAGCCACAGACTATGACCAGCTGGCCCACCTGGCAGGGGGGCGGGAGGGGAAGCAGGAGGGGAAGCAGGAGGGGAAGCAGGAGGGGAAGCAGGAGGGAAAGCAGGAGGGAAAGCAGGAGGGGAAGCAGGAGGGGGAGAAACTTGAGTAACTGCAACTCAGCAGGGATCTAGCGAGAGAGGATGGTGGCGAGGAAGCCACAGACTATGACCAGCTGCCGCCCCATTTGAGAGGAACCGGGAGGCGGGATTGGCTGGGGGAAGGTTCAAAAGGACAGAAACGGGAGGAGACTGCAGGGTACGAAGACCTTTGAGAGAGAGGGTGGTGGCTGGGAGGGAAGCCATAGACTATGACCAGCCACGCGTGGGGCGTGCTCAAGTGCGCCTTGAGCCCCTTTTCCCCCCCTTAGAGTCTAGACGCTCACCATGCGATGCAGGAAGTGACGTTTCCCAAAGAAATCCCTCGATATACTCAGCGAGTTGAAATCCAGCAGCACAGAAGACACGCCCAGCAGCCCCCCTAGTGCGCCTCTAGCCTCTCGTTCTCCCTTCACACCCACCATGCGATGCAGGAAGTGCAGCTTCCCAAGCGAACCCCTCAATATCCTCAGCGTGTTTATCAACAGCAGCACACCCAGCAGCCCGCCCAGCAGCCCGCCTAGTCCACCTTCAGCCATGCTCCCCCTTAACGCCCACCATGCGATGCAGGGAGTGCAGCTTTCCTACAAGCGCAACAAGCGCCCTTGAAATCCTCAGAGGGTTGAAATACAGCAGCCCGCCTAACTCGGCTAGGATCACAGCAGACACGCCCAGCCACGCCTGGGGATGCTGATCTGCGCCTTGAGAGCCCCTCCACACCACACCGGCCCGTGGGGCTCCTTTGCCCCATGAGTACTCACCATACGGTGCAGGAAGTGCCGCTTTCCTATCAAACCCCTCGATATCCTGAGCGTGTTAAAATAGAGCAGCACGCCCAGCAGTCCCCCCAGCTCTACCAGAATGACAGCAGACACGCCCAGCCACGCGCGGCGCATGCTGAAGTGCGCCTTGAGCACCTTTCGCGCCCGTGCTGGCACTCACCATCCGATGCAGAAAATGCAGTTTTCCAATGAGCCCCCTTGAAATCCTGAGTGTATTAAAGTACAGCAGCACGCCCAGCAGCCCGCCCAGCTCAGCCAGGATGACAGCAGACACGCCTAGCCACGCGTGGGGCGTGCTGAAATGCGCCTTGAGCCGCGCGTGGCGGTGAGTGAACATCGCGAGGGTGCCTGCTAGCGCCAGGACCAGGCCGGTCAGTTGGAGTCCCAAGTGAAGACGCATGGCCTGCTTGCGGCGCTGCAAGGAGGGAGAGGGAGGGGGGGGAAGGGGGGGGCGGCGGGGAGGGTTTGGAGGGAAGAGGTGGGGCGTGCTGGAATGAGCCTTGAGCTGCGCGTGGCGGTGGGTGAACATGGCGACGGCGCCTGCTAGCGCCAGGACCAGGCCGGGGAGCTGGAGGCCCAGGTGCAGACGCATGGCCTGCTTGCGCCGCTGGGGGGAGGGTGACGGGGGGGGAGAGAGAAGGAGCACATGACTTACTCTGAGCTGAGTCAAGTCAGAGGTGAGTGAACATGGCGAGGGTGCCTGCCAGCGCCAGGACCAGGCCGGGGAGCTGGAGGCCCAGGTGCAGACGCATGGCATGCTTGCGACGCTGCAGGGGGGGTGGGGGTGGGGGGTGGCGTGGGGGGGGAGTAGGAGGAGCGCATCACTTCTCGGAGTCACCTCAGAGGTGAGTGAACATGGCCAGGGGGCCTGCTCGAGCCAGGACCAGGCCGGTGAGCTGCGGACCCAGGTGCGGCACATGGCCTGCTTGGGCTGCTGCAATCGGAGGGAGTGGGGGGGTGGGGAGGAGGGGGGAAAAGGGGAGAAAGGAGTGACGAGTCCATCCACAGGAAAGTGAAGATACCCGCGAGAGGAACAGCAGCATTCAGACAAGATTGACAACTGTAAGCTGGGAGCATACCCGCGAGGGCCTGGCGACGATAAAGACGCCTTGAGAAATAACCATTAGGAAGGCGAGAAGCAAGAGGAGGGGAGACAAGACGGGGAGACGGAGATAAGACCAGGATGGGAACATACCCGCGAGGGCCTCGCGACGATAAAGACGCCTTCAGGAATGACCAATAGGAAGGCGAGGGTCATGAGCGCCACGTGGACGGCGAAGAGCGACTTCTCGTAGAATGTGACTGTAATGAAGATCGGCGAGAGCACGGCGAGGATGTGGAAGAGCCATGGCAGGTCCCCTGCTGCCATTGGCCAGACTTTAAGTCAGTAACAAATATACGTATATATATGTATATAAGATGTCTAGAAATAGGATTTCGAAGCAGCCGCGAAAATAGCGGGTGGAAGCTCGGACTAAGCGTGATGATCTGACGATTCTCCAGAGGGGGGTTGCTGGTCTCGGCGTTGCATCATCCAGCTCCTCGCATCAATCCTGTGCGCCTGGGATGAACGGTTTCGCTCGGTTTCGGGATTCCACTCGCGAGTCGATCAGGAGTGAGCAGGCATGAACATGGCGTTCTGGCAAGCAGTCGATGCCCTCTAGACTAAAGAGGTTTGTCTAACAGCTCAAGAACCGGCATTAGCTTTGGAAGCACCACCACCCTGAACTGGAGTTTTCCAGGCTTCAGATGAAGAAAAGGTACTGTACACTGTGATTCCGAAATAGGTATTTCGTCCCTCTCAATATACGAGTTAATAAGATGGTGGTTAACTCCATCAATATATGATATGTAACCATGTGGTGTGATGATGATGCCATACAAGCATATTTTTAATCTGTGTTGCATCGCCCATCACACAACACCATCCTCTTTTAATCAATTACCACTGCAATATGAGCAATATTACTTGCCCAATGCATGCCTTCCAAGTTGTATTGCGTTTCCAAGTTTGCTATCTATGGCAGAAATGTTGACATGGTGCCCCTTTATGGGGAAGAGATCAAATATGTTGAGCTCTTATGTGTCATGGACGTCCAGTACACTGAATGTTTTATCAAATTATGATCAACGCTTGCAACGCGATCAAATGCACGTCATGTGATCGTGTTGAGGGCTGATAGTCGTTCCAGCAACTTCGACTGGCGAAGCTTCTTACTGTTGCGAAGTTTCGCCGAGCTGTGCCCGAAAGTCCATCCGCGCCGCTGATCACAGATGGCGGAAAGCAAATCGCCGCCACGCCAGCCGGGCCAAACGCGTCCTTGCTTTGGGCAAGTCACGCCCAAAAAGTTCCGCCGCTGGGTTGCCCCCAGCCACTCACAGCATCCCTGCTGGCGTGTCAGCGCAACAAATCCAGCGTGCGCCCACACTTATCCCCAACAAGCCCGCGCGGGCAGCCCGACACCACCACAACTTTCACTTGAAACTGCTTGTCAACCCCACCACCACCAATGTGGCCTCTCATGCCCCTTGCTGATTGGTTCAGAGGGTGCTGGTTCCTCGATTTGCGCAGTTAGAGCGGAACTTTGAATCTGGATCATTCAAATCCAGCGGGCGCGACAATTGTTCCGGGGACGGATCAGTTCACTGAACTGAGCCATCTGCCCCACAATTCTGGGTTGGTGGGGTGCCTTACTTTGCGCCGAGGCGGCTTTCACTTCCGCGCGCGGACCTCGGGGTTTACGTGATCACTCTCTCCCCCCCTCCCGCCCTTGCGCAGCCACAACTCCCCATCCCGTGACCCGTCATCCTCAGCTGCTGCTGCTGCAGAAAGGTCTAGGGGAGAAAGGTTTCTCAATGCCTGGTCTGCACAATAAATCAGAATTCTGCCTTCATCATCCAGACGTTTTCTTTTTCTCTCTCCTTGTTGCTTATTATCAGCATCCGTCATTCCAAGTACCAAGCGGACTCCTCTGTTCGTCTTCACATTTATAGTCGATACGCTTTTTATTACATTCTCGCCTTGAACCCGCTCCTCCGCTTGCGTCGCTGGCACAGTATTCGCTTCACCAGCGCACCAGCGTGTTCACGGTGTAAATATAGCGAGCTTTTGTTTTAGCCTTGAGTATTCAAAGCCTATTAGTTTCTGCTTGATCGCCAAGGCTCAGACCATCCAGGCTTCTGTCAGATTTCCTTCCTCGGCTCATGGCTGGTGCGAACACCCATTCGAGACGACATCCATGCGGTCAGTTCCACATGACAGGCCAGGTTCCCAAACACGGACACTTTCATCCTCCCACGAAACCGCTCTCAAAACCCTCCACACCACCTCCAACCGTGCCTAGACAATCAGCAGCGGTCTTGAGGAGCAGCCGGGGTGTCAAGGTCCCGCGATCATCCCTTGCCGTCCCTCAGTCGCCCGCTTTTCTCGCGGAGAAATCAGACTTGGATCGGCTTCAGCGAAACCCGAATGAAGCCGTGCGACCTCTCGGCTCTCGCGCGCGAAACCCTGCCTCTGCTGACCTCCCGCTGTTGTCCTTCTCGATAGAGGAACGAAGCTCGTTCGGCGTAGCTTCCATCTCTCCAGTAACGAAGTGTCTTAACATCGCAGCCCCCTCAGCCAGCTCAGCCGAGCGACTAAGGGACAACCCTTTCTCGGCTGTTCTAGACGGTCTCGACCGAGCATCGTCTGGGTTGACTCATCTGATCAACCAAGCATCCGGCCATCGGCTCAGCAGTTCTCATTCGTCCTTAGATTCGCCCGACGTATTCCCTTCTGGTTTTCGAAAGAAGGCCTCAGCTGATCGAGGGGGGAGCGTCGTTGGTGAGGGTGGCGGGGGAGGCTGGCGCAGAGAGCGCGCGAGCATGCGCGCTGTGTTCGCCGCGCTGGACGCGGACGGCGACGGGGTGATCTCCGCGGACGACCTCCGCGCGTACTCCGCCCAGCGCGGTCTCCCCGCGGGGTATGCGCTGGAGTTCGTGAGCCGCGCGCAGCGTGGGCGGAGGGGCGCGGAGGACCACTTGCGCGGAGAATGGCCGTTGCCTGGAACGGGGTTTCCGCAACAGGTGTTGCGGAACAGCCTGTCCGGGGACGGATGGAACGGCGCGGGGTGCGCGGCGGGAGGGCTCCAGGCGGGCGGAGCTGCGGGAGCTGGCATCGGCGGAAGACATATCGGGGGAAGGGGAGAGGAGGGAGTGGTGTTAGGCGGGAAGGGCGGACCCATTTTGGTGCCGTGCCGAGCATCGGCAGGATTTGCGGCGTCGTCCTCCCAGGTAGGTCGCCGTCCTCCCAGGTCTAGATCTCCCATATAGTTGTCCTTCCCCCCAGGTTCTAGTTTCTACTAGTATTTGTAGAAACTTGAACCTTCGTTCCAAGTAACAGCTCGTCCCGGTAGCAGTGCACCACACAGGTAAGCTCCCAAGCACTGGCCCACGGCAAAGTCGACAAGGTGCTATCTCTCCACACCATTCCGTACTCTCTCCCACCCCTCCCATCCCCGCCACCCCTTCAGGCGCTGCCTGCTGTGGACCTGTCAGCACTGCTCTCCTCCGCCGCACACCTGCTTCAGCGCGGGCTGGACTCGGCGCGCTTTCACCTCGGAGCGTTAATATTCCATTCTCTCTCCCTCCCCTCCCCTCCCTTCCCCTCCCTTCCCCTCCACCCTCAGGCGCTGCCTGCTGTGGACCTGTCAGCACTGCTCTCCTCCGCCGCACAGCAGCTGCAGCGCGGGCTGGACTCGGCGCGCTTCCATCTCGGAGCGCTCAGCGACCGAAGCAGCAGCGGTGGCGGAGTGGGCAGCAGCAGCAGCAGCAGCAGCAGGCCGAGCTTTGGGGTGTCGTATGCGGCGTTTGAGGAATTCGTGGACGCCAAGGACAGGGCTCTGTGGAACTCGTTTAGGTGCCTGGACAGTAACGGGGATGGCTGGGTGTCGCAAGCGGACCTCGAGCGCAGCATGCGGGTGCGTATTACAGCTGGGTGTTACATAGTAATCATTTTCCACTTCCTCCGCCCTTCTCCTTCTCCTCACCCAATCAGCATGCGTGGTTCTGCAGGGTATGTTTTTAGAATGCTATAAAACACCATGCGTGGTTCTTGTCACTTCACGCTGCTCCCCGTTTCCCCTTCCTCCATTCTCACTAGCTTACTCCACCCCTCCTCTCTCATCCCCACTGGCAAACCCCAAACGACTGTTTTCGTGCACACTCCCTCGACAACCCTTCTCTGCCCTGGCATCTCTCCTTACGACTAATCTCCCTCAACACATCTCTTTGTCTTTCCCGCTCCTTCAGGACCTCACTGCCCGCTGCAGTCACACTGCTGTAGGTGATGTAAGAGTCGGCTCAAACCTCAACACATCTGCGTTGTCTTCCCCTCTCCTGCAGGACCTCGCTTCCCGCTGCAGTCACACTCCTGTTGCCACTGCTCCGGTAGCTATTGCAAAAGGCACTCCCCCCAACAGCGCTGCCAGCACTGCCAGCACTGCAGGCACTAGTACTCCTGCCAGCAGCAGGCTCTCTGCTGGGCTCGGGCAGCCTTGCACTGCAGATTTTGTTGGGCGCGCGTGCAGCAGGAAAATGGTCAGAGCCCTGCAGCAGCAGCAGCAGCAGCAGCAGCAGGAGGGGGAGGGGGAGACTCGGCGCGTGCAGCTGGTAGAGAGCGCGGAGCAGAGGCAGCGGCAGGCATGCAGAGGGGCTGCCCGGGATCCCTTGTCTCCAGCTGTATCATTCGAGGTAACAGCGAAGATCTTTTCAACGATTTTTTGTTAAGAATGTTCCCCAGGCAACACCCCCGCCCCCCCCCCCCCCCCCCCCCCCCCTTTCTCGCCGCCTTCCCCTCCTGCTCTCCCGCACACACTCACTCACACACCCCTACCCCCTCCCCCCCTCTCCAGGAGTTCCGAAACTACTTCACTCTGCTCCCCGCGTCCGACCATCTCTTTGACTACTGGATCTCCGCCTCCTGCCCCCTCGCGTGCCACGTGCCAGCCGCACCTGATGCCCTTGCTGGCCCGGCAGGGCGCACATCCCTTGGGTCGGTGGGGGCGATGGCAGCAGCAGCTACAGGCCTGGCGACAACGGGAGCAGGAGTTGCCACAAGAAAGAGGGCGAGCCGAAGAGGGGTCCCTAGAAGCAGGCGCAGCAGCAGCAGCGGAAGCAGCGGAGGCGGCGGCAGCAGCAGCAGCGGTAACAGCAGTGGGAGCGGCAGCAAGAGGGTGGGCGTGTGGCGGCATCTAGTGGCGGGCGGCATGGCAGGAGCCACGTCCCGCACCGTGACAGCTCCCTTGGAGACGCTGCGCCTGAGAATGATGGTCACCTCCGACCATGGACTCCTGCAAACATGCTCTGTAAGTCTCAGTGTGTGGGGGGATGTCTGCCCTGCTTCTGGCTTTCGTTTCGTACACATCTGCTCACTATGATCATATCATATCAAATCGTATCATATCGTATCATATCGACCAGGGTCGACTGCGCTTCTCTTCATTTGCTTCAGTTTCCTCAGGTGCTTGTTTCTCCCTTCACTCTCTTCTTTCCAGCAAGTGTGGAGCAAGGCGGGCTGGAGGGCGTTTTTCAGGGGCAACATGGTGAGCGTGGCGCACTCTGCTCCCCCCCCCCCCCCCCCCCCCCCTTGTCTCATCTCTCTCTCAATTCTCTTCTTCTCCTCCTCCCTCTCCTGCTTGCAGCAAGTGTGGAGCGAGGCGGGGTGGAGAGCCTTCTTCAGGGGCAACATGGTGAACGTGGTTCGCTCTGCTCCTCAGAAGGCCATCGACTTCTTTGCCTTCGAGGCCTTCAAGCAAGCCATTGCCACTGTCTTCCCTACGGTATGCTTTTCATGTTCTCGCGCACTCCATGCTTTTCTTTCCCACAATCCGTGTTCCCGCACACTCGCTTGCCCCCCGTCTCTTACTCAATCACCTCTAGTTCTCCCGGTGCCCTTCCCCCACGTTCTCTCCCCTTGTTGTTCGCTTCTCCTGCAATTGGCTTTGCCTGGTGGTTTGCCAGGTGTTAGGCTGCCTTCCCCACCATCCCCATCACCCTCCATTACATCTTCCTTTATCGCCCCCCTCCCCCCTCCCAGGGCCCTGCGAGTCTTCAGGTGGTGGCATCAGGTGCTTTGGCAGGTGCCACGTCCACCCTGGTGCTCTATCCCCTGGACGTTGTCAGGAGCCGCCTCACTGTTGCCGCCCGCTCTCAGGTGAGTTGACTCGCTCTGGTTTCCGGCCTCTCTCTGATTTCTTCAAGCATCTTGTCGGTTCCATCCAGCCACTCTCAAGGCTGCTATCATTAGGCAGAGCTGCTCCCATATTTTTCAGGCGTAGGTCTATTAGCTCAGTCCCTGTATCCTTGTGTCTTATATTTGGGTAATTCTTTCTATAACCCAGTAAATGCCTGTCTCCTCTCCCTCCTGCCAGAGGTGGCCATCACGTACGTGCGGCTGCTTCGACCTGCTCACTTGCTGTTAGAACGTCCCCACCTCCCCGCCCCCCTCACAGCAGTACACGGGCATTGGCAACACTCTCACCACCACTGTGAAGCTGGAAGGCGTGCCGTCTCTGTACAGAGGCCTGGGCGCCTCCCTCCTCTCCATCCTGCCTGAGACCACCATCATATACGGGTGCTCCGACCTGCTCACTTGCCCTTTCCCTTTGCGCGTCTTCCCCGTCCTCCCCCCCCCCCCACTGCAGTACACGGGCATTGGCAACGCGCTCACCACCATTGTGAAGCAGGAGGGCGTGCCGGCCCTCTACCGCGGACTGGGAGCCTCCCTGCTCTCCATCCTGCCTGAAGCGGCTATCACATACGGCTGCTTCGACCTGCTCAAGTCTGCGGTGCAGCAGTCCACCGGCCGCACCGTGGGCGTGCTGCCCGCGCTCGCCTGTGGTGTGGCTTCCGCCTTCACGGGGCAGCTCGTGGCGTATCCCCTGGAGCTCGTTGCCAGGAGACTGCAGGTCTCTGCTGCAGCTGCAGGCGCTGCTGGGGCGGCAAAGCAGAACCTGGTAACCGTTACCAAGGCGATCGTAGCAGAGCGGGGTGTGGCAGGGCTGTACCAGGGAATAGTCCCCGCGTCTCTCAAGGTCATCCCAATGGCCATAGTCAGCTTTGGGGTGTACGAATCAGTGAAGTTTGCCCTGGTGCACCTGGCAGAGCAGGAGGAGCGGAGGCAGGGAGAGAGGGAGAGGAGGAGGGAGGAGGAGGAGGAGAGGAGGAGGGTGGTAGAGGAGGCTTTGGAGGAGGAGAGGGGGGGAAGGAGGGTGTATTTGCCGGTGTGTAAGTCGTGCCGGGAGGAGGTGCCGCTGTGTGGGAGGCAGAGGGGGAGTGTGCTGCTTGTGGGGTGATGGTGCTGCTGCAACGGAGGGAGTGTATGGGATGATAAGCGGGCGGAGAGTATAGTCTGGCGCGCGTGGCGTGCCGGCAGGAGGTGCCGCTGTGTGGGAGGGAGACGGGGAGAGAAGCAGCGCGCTGCTTGTAGGGTGGTGCTGCTCCTACAACGATGGGGTCCCGATGACAGTGGAATTGATGCGATGATGAAGCTGCTGCTGCTGCCAGGGTTGGGTGTCTTCCACTCGATTGTTGGTAGCCATGAGTGGTGCTAAACGGAGTTGCCATGTGGATGTGGTGTAACTAGTGCTGGTGTCCACATGGTGGCTGCACGATGCACGTATGGACGTATTCCATGGGCACCAAATCTTGAGGTTATCTACCTAGTTGGAGCCCCCTTCAAGTATATATGCTGCCGTAGAATGATAATGTTTTGGGGGGCACTCGGCCTCATCTGTGGTTTTTTTTTTTTTTTTTTTTGGTAGAATCACATCAGGGTATTTCGTAAAGGCACCTTTTCGCATCAGGGTGCTAACGCTACACCACTTGTGAAAATCAGGGTCCGGTACAAACATAGTTTTTTTCATAAGGGTCCAAAACTAAACCACTTTTGAAAATAAGGGTCCAGCACCAACCCCAGCCTTCTAGTAAGGGCCATAAGGGTATTTTACCCTGATATCCTGAGACCTTCCATTACTTTTCTTTGTGCCTCAAATCAGACATCGTAAATCATACCGATATTACCATTTACGAGCCTTAGAGCAATTTCATCCGCGTTTTGCGAGTTTGCCGGGCCTCGGGTTTGCCCTGAACCATCCGGGAGATTCGGCGACAGTAGCCCCGATCGAACCGGACCGAACCAAAGCAAACTCGACCTAGAACGTGACGCGGCCCTGGATTCTACCGCTTGACCAAGAAACCTAGGCTCCTGCCTAGGTTCTTTTAGTGTTACGTACAGTATTCGAAGCAAAGCTAGATTGGAGAAGCAGGCTGCCCAGCTCGTGGCATTCTAGAAGCTGTCCGTGAAGCAGTGAGTACCGCGCGATGCGCAGAGCGAGATAGCTAACTCTCTAAGACTAGTAAAAGCATTCCGTTGCTTCCTGACTGAACTCGTAGGCATCTATCACCCGCCTATCAGGCTTCGTTGGAATAGCGGAAGGTCAGGCCTCGTTGGAATATCAGTCATGGCGACAACCAGAAGAAAGTCATCGCGTCGCCTTTCCTCACTAATATTTCTGTTTCACGTGCTGGCGTCTACTTTCTTCGTCGCGACCGTCGCGAAAGCCGCGAAAGCGAGTAACTTGGGCCCCGGCGAAGTTCGCCGGCCCGACGAAGTAACTCAGGGCCTCGAGACCATCTCAACCGACATGCAGCGCGTCGTCGACATGCCGGAAGATTCGCAGAAGGTTCTCCTGGACGGCATGGGACAGGCGCTCGTGTCGTCCGGCATGTGGCCGTGCAACATCTTCGGAGGCGTTAAGGCTTGTGTCGCGGTGCCTTCTAACGGGTCGTTCATGCAGCAGTGCACGAATATCGCCAAGTCGGAGGTGGACTGCGCGTATAACCTCGAGACGCTGAGTGACATTAACGAGGATCCGAATGTGATTATGAAGGAGAAGCTCCAAGAAGCGGGTGAGTTCAGTTCAGCGAGCGAGGTTCCTATCGAATCCGCCATTCCAGGTTCCTTCCGTACCCTCATTCCCTTTCCCGCGTGTCTCCACGCCATGCATCGCTTCTGGTGCCAACAAACCACCCCCTCTCCCCTTGTTCTCTTCCCCCCCCTCCTCTCCTCCCCTCCTCTCAGGCTTCGAGCCCTGCCCCGCGTGTCTGGACGCCCTGCATCGCCTTTGGTGCGGCCAGATCTCATTCCTCGGTTATCTCATCTCCGCTCTCTCCCTCCCTCGAACCTCTTCCCCTCTCCCCTCCACAACCCCAGGCGTCGTGCCCTGCCCCGCGTGTCTGGACGTCCTGTCCTGCATCGCTTTTGGTGCGGCCAGATCTCATTCCTCGGTTATCTCATCTCCACTCTCTCCCTCCCTCCCACCTCTTCCCCTCTTCCACCTCTCCCCTTGTTCTCTTCCCCCCCCCCGTCCCCTCCTCTCAGGCTTAAAGCCGTGCCCCGCGTGTCTGGACGCGTTGCATCGCTTCTGGTGCTTGCAGATCTGCTTTTGAGTCGACTCAAAAGCATGCCTCGGTTATCCCGATTCCTTCTCCCTCCCTCACACCTCTTCCCCTCTCCCCTCCGCTCCTCCTCAACCCCCCACCGCAACCCCAGGCTTCGAGCCGTGCCCCGCGTGTCTGGACGCGCTGCATCGCTTCTGGTGCGGCCAGACCACCCCTACATGCGGCACGTTTGCCAAAGTCGTGGACGAGATTTTGGTGAGCGCGGGGGGAGGGGGTGAGGGGGGAAGGTGGGGTTGGGGGTGGAGAGATGAGGGGGGGGGGAGAAGGCAGTTGAAGGGGCGCTGGTGCGCGCGTGAGAGCTCAGAAGATTAAGCCAAACGAACTGGTCGGGTCAACCTCCCCCTCACATGGTGCAAGCCTTTTCTCTCGGTATTTACTACGCCCCTGCCTCTCTTTACTCGGCATCCCTCCCTCCCCATCTCTTCAGCCAGAGATGAGCCAGGTCAATGCAGGCTGCATGAAGCCGGACGAGCTGGTCGAGGCTGCCCTCCCTCCCCCGCATGCTGCAAGCCTTTTCCCTCGGTATTTATCCTACTCTCTCTACCCTCTTGACTCTGCGCCCCTCCTGTTCCCGTCAGCCGGAGATGCGGCAGGTGAGCGCTGGAAGGATGAAGCCGGACGAGCTGATCGAGTCAACCGTCCCTTGCATGCTGCTAGCCCTCGCTCTTGGGCTCCAAAACTTTCAGCATGCCTGCCTCCCTTCTGTACTCTGTGCACCTCCCCATCCCTACCCGTTTCAACCCTTCTGCGCCCCTCCCCATCCTGTCAGCCGGAGATGCGGCAGGTGAGCGCTGGAAGGATGAAGCCAGACGAGCTGATCGAGTCAACCGTCCCTTGCATGCTGCTAGCCCTCGCTCTTGGGCTCCAAAACTTTCAGCATGCCTGCCTCCCTTCTGTACTCTGTGCACCTCCCCATCCCTACCCGTTTCAACCCTTCTGCGCCCCTCCCCATCCCTCAGCCGGAGATGCGGCAGGTGAGCGCTGGAAGGATGAAGCCAGACGAGCTGATCGAGGCATCCCTCCCTCGGATGCTGCAAGCCTTTTCCCTCGGGCTGCCTTGCCGCAAAATGTGCGAGGCGGTTACCGCCACCTGCAGCTGCGGCCGCCCGGCGACGTTCGGGCAGATGATGAAAGTTTTGGAGCTCAAGCGGACACAGCAGCAGGCAGAAGCGGAGGGCGCGGCGGGCAGACCCCTGGCGGAAAACAAAGATTTGATTCCGTTTGGATTCAGCACGAATATGTCGCTGGCTACTGCTGTGAAGATCTTCAAGGGGGTGTGGGACCGGCCAGTTTGTGACCTCTTCGCCCCACATGTAAGGGGAAGTATGGGGGAGGTGGGAGGTGGGGAGAAGGGCTTACATGGGATTCACCTTCGTTTGGGTTCAGCATGAATGTATCGCTGGCTACTGCTGTGAAGATATTCAAAGGCGTGTGGGACCGACCTGTCTGCGACCTCTTTGCTCCTCATGTAAGGGGGGGGCTGGGGAGAGAGAAGCATGGGAGCATAAGAGCAAGAGGGCATGGGGAAGTGGGGCCATGGGGCCATCGGGGCATGGGAGCATGGGGGCATGGGAGCATGGGGGCATGGGGGCATGGGGGCATGGGGGCATGGGGGTATGGGAGCATGGGGGCATGGGAGCATGGTGGTTATAGGAGATTTACTCTCGTTTGGGTTCAGCACGAATATGTCGCCGGCTACTGCTGTGAAGATATTCAAAGGAGTGTGGGACTGACCCGTCTGCGACCTCTTTGCCCTGCATGTAGAGGGGGGGGGGGGGGGAGAGAGAAAAAGGGGGAGCGGGAAGAGGCGGGCGGGATGAAGGAGAGAAGGGGGATATGGGGATTGGATTCCGTTGGGGTTCAGCACGAGTGTGTTGTCTATCGCTGTGAAGAAGTAGTTAGTTTTGAGACGTCTCAAAACTACTACTTAACTGCAGGACATGGGGATTTGATTCCGTTGGGGTTCAGCACAGCACGATTGTGTTGCCTATCGGTGTGAGGATACTCATAGGGGTGTGGGACTCGCCTGATTTGACCTCTTTGCTCCCGACCTGTTTGCGACCTCTTTGCTGCGGACCTGTTGTCCATTCCAACAGGACGCGCCAGGCTTTCAGGGCGTGTGTGAGACGTGGTGGGCGGGGGCGGACAAGAATCAGACGACATGCCACTGGTGCGAGTCCAAGCAGCGGCCAGAGGACATGGACGAGCAGATTGTGGCGCAGATTGCCCAGTCCGTGTCGAGCATGATGCAGGTGCGTGATTGAGGTTTGCTGTACATACTGTAATACTAAAGATGCACCTCCTTTGCCCGACCTAACTGCCCACGCCACCTCTCAAAACCCCCTTCCCCCCCCTCTCCCCCTCCCCCAACATATACCCAGCACCTCCTCTCGATCCCCCCTCATTGTCTCTCTCTCTCTCCCTCTTCCCCACATCCCCCCAGGCTGGTTTGGAGCACGTCCTCTTCGCTGCTGCCTTCCCCGTGCCCGCCCTCAATGCCCGAGGTGCCCAAGCCTCCTCCTCTTCCTCTGCCTCGTCCGCCTCTGCCTCTGCATCCAATGCTGGCCCTGTTACCGCAACAGCTTCTGCTGGTGCTTCTACTGCTGGTGCTGGTGGTGGTGCTGCTGCCGGTACTGCTTCCCCTGCTGTTACTCCCGCTGCTGATGCTGCCGATGCAGAAGCAGTGGAGAAAGCAGAGGAGGAGGTAGAGCGGGAGGAGCAAAAGGACTTCAACTGGCAGGACGACCAAACCGGCCTACCCGACTCCGAGCCTGTCGAGCTGCCCCCTGAGACTGTTCCTCCGGAGCTGATCGACACAACCGCCGAGCCTGGTGCCAAACCTGCTGCTGCCGAACCGGGTGCCGAGCCTACAGTCCAGCCTGGTCCGGATGGTCCGGGGTTTTTCAGGGAGGCAGCGCCGGGGGATTGGGGATACAAGGCATCGGACGAGGTGGATATGGCGAAAATGATGCGAGGGGAGGGTGGGGGAGAGAGGGAGGGCGAGGGTGCAACTGGGGGAGGTGGTACTGCTGGTGGGGGTTGGAAGCAAGTGATGAATGCAATGATGGGGAGGGGAGGGAGAGGAGGTGAGGGAGGGCGAGGAGAGGGGGAGAGGGGAGGGGGGGAAGAGACAGGGGAGGAAGCAAGGGGGGAGGAAGCGAGGGGTGAAGGAGGAGAAGGTGGTGGGCGATGGGAGGGGGGGTCAACAAAAGGGGGAACGATGATGAGAGGGGAGAGGGGGGAAGGTGAAGGCACCACTGACATGGGAGGACACAGGGCGTGGGGAGGTAAACGGGAGGGCGAGAAGGAAGGAGAGGAAGAAGAGAAGGAGCCTTCATCAACCGCCATTTCTCCGGAAGATTCTCCCCGAGGCCACCAGGCTGCGGACAACCCTCCCACCATGTTCCAGCCTGACCCATCCGCCTCTACAGATACTCCTACTCCTGCGACTGAGGCTACCGAACCGGAGCGGCCGCCCGTTTGGGAGAAGAAGGAATGGCAGGAGAAGCGAGAGGAGCCGGAGGGCGGTTGGAAGGAGAAGCCGGAGGAGCCGGCCCCAGAGCCCGCGGGAAATGTTTGGTATCGGGGGCACGGGGATGACTTGCCCATTCCGCCTACAGAGGAGAAGCGTGGGTCGCCTTTGGTGGCGACGTTTTTTATTTTCTTTGCAGCGGCTGGCGTGGTCGGGGGCTTGGCGTTTTGGAAGATGAGGAGGGAGCGGAGGGTCAGGGACGGTGGCTTGCAGTATATTGATTTGCAAGAGATGAGTTATCGGCCCCCAGAGTTTTAGAGTTTTGGTGGGTTCGTGGACGAGGCACACTAAATACAGCATCGAACGTGTTTGCCTTTGAGGCAAGTGTTTCTCATCTCTTTGACCCATTTTGTATTTTTGCTTCGTTTACCTTATTGCAATTTATAATTAGCCCACGATTCTGTATTCTCTTGAAGTTTTATATCTCTGTACACATTATTTCGTTATTAGCGGAACTAGTCACGTGTCGCTGTCCGTCAGCTGTCACTTCCAAGGGTGGTTCCGACGGCTGACGGGCGGAATTGGCGAGATGCTTGTCATTTTCACCCGTCCGATGTTGACTCAAACGCCCTCTTTTGGAAAGCGACTGTTTCGCGAGCACACGTGCCAGCAGTCGAATGGCTCACGAAGAGCTGCGCGAAGCATATCCTCTCACCCCGTCCAGCGCGATTCGGTAGCGCAATCTTCTTCCAACATCGCGGTTCGGGTTTTCCACGGGATGTGTTCACATTTCATGCACAATAAATTTCTGCCACTCCCAGCTTTTCTCGTCACATCCATTTCCCCTTCAGCTTTCACTGCTACTACCACTCCCCCAGCTAGACTCCCAGCGTGCATTCTAACGCCTGCTGCGCAATCTCCAGCTCACAGCACAAAGGCTTACATTTGTGCTCCGATTCCCTCTGCTGTTCGGGCTTCTGGATAAAACCGTTCGGCACAACAAGCCTGTGCGCGTCCCTCTATTTGGAGCAAAGCCACAGAAAGTTGACTCGGGCCGAGCATGGCTGTCAGCATGGGAGCGCGCGTGATGTCCCTCGTCCTCCTCATTCACCTGACGATCTCGTCAACGGGTAAGTTCCCGCGCGCTTTGAAGGCAAATTTACAACTGCCTGCACGGAGACGGCAGTCCTTCTTTGCTATTCATACCTCGTTCAGACGAGATGGATGCCTACTTTTGAACTGAGAATCTAACCGTCCGTCTCCCCCTTTTCGTCCATCCGTCTCCCCTTTTCCCTACCCCTCTCTCGCCCCAATTGCCTGCCCACGTCCCAATCACTCCCACTCGCAGCAGCTCAGCCCAGCCTCGTTCCACCAATCAGCGGAGTCGGTGACCCTGCAGCTCTGGCGGGAAACGCGGCCAGCTCGGCGCAATCCGCGATCGGCGGCGCCACCAGCGCGGCTCAGAACGTGGTTGGCTCCGCAACCACCGCCGCGCAGGGCGCAGCCAGCAACCTCGTGAGAGCCGCTGGGGGCGCGCTCGGAGCAGCTCAGAGCACTGTTGGAGGGGCGCTCAACACCCTTCAGGGCACCGCTGGGGGCGCGCTGGGGGCAGCACAGGGAATCGTTGGAGGGGCTCTGAACGCCGCTCAGAACACCGCTGCGGGTGCCATTGGTGCTGCGCAGGGCGCTGCTGCGGGCGCGCTGGGAGCAGCTCAGGGCGTTGTTGGAGGGGCCCTCAATACTGCTCAGGACACCGCTGGAAGCGCTCTGGGTGCTGTGCAGGGCGTTGTGCAGGACCCACTTGGCGCTGCGCAGAGGACTGCTCGGGGGGCAGTGGGTGCAGCTCAGAGCACCGTGGGGGGCGTTGTGAACGCTGTTCAGAACACTGCTAGCGGCGCAATTGGTGCTGTTCAGAGCACCGCAGGGGGCGCTCTGGGAGCGATTCAAGGCACAGTGAGCGGGCTGGCGAATGCTCTGACTGGTACCGCTCAGCAGCTCGCTACCACCGGCCCCGTTAACACCATAAGAGGCGCGGTGGGTACCGCTGCAACCAACATTGGGAGCGCTCTGAACGGGCCTGCAGGTGCGATCCAGGGGGCTGCAGGCGCTGCTGCTAGCAACGTTGCGAGTTCATTGAGGGGGCCGGCTACAACGCTTGTGGGTGCCTTGAGTGGGCCTGCTGGGGCGGTGCAGGGGGTGTTGGCCCGCCAGGGAGGCATTCTGAGCCGTCCGATCGAAACCATCCAAGGAGCAGTTGCTGGCGTTGCTGGCGGCGTGCAGAGCACAGTCGGCAACGTTGCTGGGGGCGTGCAGGGTACTTTGGGCAACGTTGCTGGAAGCGTGGCGAACGTGGCGAGTGCAGTGGGAGGGACGCTCTCCGGTGCTGCGAGTGGCGTGCAAGGGGTAGTCCAGGGGACAGCAAGCGGCGTGCAGGGCGCAGTGCAAGGCACGCTGAATGGTGCGCAAGGGGCGGTTCAAGCGGCGGCAACTGGTGCACAGGGAGCAGTGCAGAGTGCAGTGAGCGGCGCAGGTGCGGGTGCTGGCGCTGCTCAGCTCCCTGTTGCTACGGTGCCTGTGGCTGCACGGTCTGCAGCAGAGAGTGAGCCTGGGAGGAGGCTGCAGGATGCGCCGGCAGCAGCAGGCGGCACTGGATCAACCACCACAGTCAGCAACGGCCCCACCCCCACTTCCACCATCCCCACTTCCACCGTCCCCACTTCCACCGTCCCCACTTCCACCGTCCCCACTTCCACCACCTCCACCACACCCACCTCCACCCCCACCCCCACCCCCACCCCCACCCCACCCCCACCCCCACCCCCACCCCCACCATCCCCACCATCACCACCCCCACCACCACTCCTACCACCGCTGCTGCTGGTTCCGGTCCCCTGGGGCCCGTGCAGCAGGCGCTCTCAGGCGCAGCGTCCGCCGTTCAGGGCACTGTTTCTGGCGCCACCGGCTCTCTTTCCCAGGCCACCACCGGGGTTCAGTCACTCGCTGGGTCTGCCGCCCAGCAGATCGCCTCTGCCGCCCAGTCTCTCCCAGGAGCCGTCGAGGGCGCAGTGCAGGCTCTCCCTGGGACCATCCAAGGCACGCTCCTGTCTAGCCCGGGCTCACTCCAGAACGCAGCACAGTCAGTGGCCAGGACAGTATCAGGAGGCGCCAGCAGCATCCAGGGCGGTGCTGCTAACATCGCGAGCACGCTTCAGGAGGCAGTGGGTAATGTAGCCGATGGCGTGCAGGGGGCTCTCAGCAACCCTCAGAGGACGCTAGGCGGCGCTGTTGGAAACATCCAGGGGGGTGTTGCTAACCTTGCGAGCACTCTTCAAGGGGCAGTGGGCAATGTGGTTGGGCCGGTGGCAGGCACGCTCTCCGGTGCTGCTACCGGTGCTCAGACTGCCCTCTCCGGACCTCTGTCTGCCGCCCAGCAAGCCTTATCCGGACCGTTGGGAGCAGTGCAAGGGGTGGCAGCAGGGGTTCTGAGGGGCGTGCAGGGGGCGGTTGCCGTCCCTGCTGGGGCGATTCAGGGCGCGGCGAGTGGCGCCCAAGGGGCGCTGTCAGGGCCTCTCGCGGCCGTGCAGGGCGCAGCAGCAGGTGCACTGAGAGGCATTCAAGGGGCGGTTTCCGTCCCTGCTGGGGCCATTCAGGGCGCGGCGACTGGCGTGCAGGGAGCAGTGCAAGGGGCAGTGAGCGGGGCGCAGGGAACAGTGTCTCTCCCCACAGCTGCTACGCAGCTTCCTGACACCGCCGCTGAGAGCGCTGCTGGCGCTGCTGCTGCTCAGCTACCTGCTGCTACGGTCCCTGTGGCAGCACGCTCTGCAGCGGAGAGTGAGCCCGGGAGGAGGCTGCAGGACGCGCCAACGGCAGGAAGCAGGGGCCCCATCCCCACAACAACCACTCCCACTCCCACTCCCACTCCCACTGCTGCTGCTGGTTCCAGTCCCCTGGGCCCCGTGCAGCAGGCGCTCTCGGGAGCAGGCTCCGCCGTTCAGGGCACACTTTCCAGCGCCACTATGACTCTCGCTGGCGCCACTACGACTCTCGCTGGCGCCACTAGCGGCATCCAGGGCGCCCTCACCAGCGGAACAGGCAACCTGCAGGCCCTTGCTGGGTCCGCCGCCCAGCAGATCGCCTCTGCCGCCCAGTCCCTCCCAGGAACCGTCCAGGGCGCCGTCCAGTCCATCCCAGGCACTTTCCAGGGAGCAGCACAGGCGGTGTCTCGCACAGTGCAGGGCGCGGCAGGGTCGGCGCAGTCAGCAGGGGGAGCTGCAGTGGGCGCAGCAGCAGGGACTTTAAACCGAGTGGGGGACGCGCTCACCCTCCCCCTGCGCCAAGCAGTGGGGGCAGTGGCGCAACCACTAGTAGGGGCGGCACAGGTGGTGGCCCTGCCTCTGGGGAACGCAGTAGCTAGCGCCCTGCAGCCGGCTGTGAGTGCTCTGGGCGCGGGGATTGCAGGGGCTGGGGGCGCGGTGCAAGCGGCAGGAGGAGCATTGGGAGGAGTTGTGCAGGGCGTTGGCAGCACGGTGGTAGCAGGGGTGCAGAGCGCAGGGGCCGCAGCAGGGGGAGGGGTGCAGAGCCTAGGGAGGAACGTGCAGGGAGCAGCAACAGGGGCGGTTGAGGCCCTTGGCAGGACGGCTAACACCCTGGGGGCAGGGCTAGGAAACGCCGCTGCAGGAATCCAAGGGGGGGTTGGCCAGGCGCTGGGGCAAATCACCCGGGCAGTTCAGGGCGGGCCAGGGGGGATTGGCCAGGCGTTTGGGCAACTTACCCAGGCAATTCAGGGCGGACCGGCGGTGCTGGGGGGTGTGCTGGGCCAGGCGCTCGACTCGGCTACTGTAGCAGCGGGAGGGGCGGCAGGGGCGGCGGGGAACACTGTGACTGTAGCGGTGGATGCTGCTAGCGGGACGATCCGATACAGCATTGAGGGGATTGGGAATGCAACGCAGCTGGTGTCTGCCGGGATCTTCCAGGCCGCTGGGAATGCTGGAGGTGAGTTAGACTGGGTTGCAGTGAGTACATTCTCATGCCATGCCATGCCATGCAGGGCATCATACATCCCCGCATGCACACACTGCTTGAATGCCACGGAGCTGGTGGCTGCTGGGGTCTACCAGGCTGCTGGGATGGCAGGAGGTGAGTGCAGTGGGCTGCAGTGGTTTGGGTACTCTTCTCAGTGCAGCCCAACAATGCATTGCATCTGTCAACTGATACATCCCCATGCAGACCGCCGAACTTATCAGTACATCTCCATGCCGTACTCGTTTCCCTGACCTTATCGCCACTCCGAACCAACTTTCCAAGCACCCACTCCCGCTCTCCCACCTTCCACCTATCAGGAGCCACCAGGTCAGCAGGCACCCAAGTAGTGAGCCTGTTCAACCGGGCCAATCCCGTGAACGTCCTGTCAGCGGTGGGCGACACGATTACCGGCACCATCGCAGCCACCACAGCGCCATCACCAGCCACCTGCATAACCCCTGCTGTCACTCAGAACCCTGCTGTCCCTGCTTTACCTGCTGTCCCTGCTGTCCAATCACCCGCTCCTGCCCTTCCCCCTTCCCTCCTCCCCCCCTCCATTTACCAGGAGCCGCCAGGACAGCAGGCTCTCAGGTAGTGAGTCTGTTCAACCGGGCCAATCCCGTGAGCGCCCTGTCAGCGGTGGGCAACACGATCACCGGCACAGTCGCCGCCACCCCCAGCGCCATCGCCAGCCTGCTGCAGAACCCTGCTGGCTTCGTGCTGCAGGCCACAACCAGGGGAGGTGCTACTGGTGCCACTGGTGGGAGTGGTGGCAGTGGTGCTAATGGGGGGGGCGGTGCCACGGAGACTCGTATGGCGCCGCTGAGTGTAAGGAATGACCCTTAGCCAACTGTCCTTGGTTGAACGATGCTGCGACCCCCTTGGGCGGTTTATCAACTCGTGGAGGAAGGTGCTGAGAAGGACCCCAGGAGCTGACAAGAGGTTGCGGACAACGGACTAATGCTTGCTAGTGACTGCTAGACAGGAGATAGGAAATTGTACCTTCCTGTGACCCATTCATTTCAGCTTATATTGTACCCGTCTGTGTAATGCTTATATTTTAGGGTTTAGGGTTAAAGTCGGCATCTGTTCCCTCCCACCTCCACTTGCCCTTCCCAGACCCTCGCGCCCCTCATCCCATACAGCCAGCACGGCCTCTCTCCCTGCTGCTGCCAGTGCTTGTCTCAAACCCCACCCCATGCACCCCTTCACCGCCAGGTTCTCGCGCCTTTCATCCGAGAAGCCATGAGCACCGCTCCTCTCCCTGCTGCTGCCGTTGTCCCTCCATAGACATTCATCCTCCCCCACTCCCCCTCCGCCCTCCCCCCTCTCCCTCTTTCTCCCACCCCTTTCCAACCAGGCTCTCGCGCCATTCATCCCAGCGACCATCAGCACCACTCCTCTCCCTGCTGCTACAAGTGCCGCTCCCCTGCTGGGCGTGCGGCGACAAGGTGAGAATGGGGGGAAGACGGATGGGACTGGAGTAGGGAAGAGGTAGTGCGCATGGTTTTCTTTGGGCTCACTATATGTCCCAAAGAAATCTGTCCCCAGTCTCATGGATTTTGGGTATTAGCATCATCCTTCTGCTGCTTCGCAATGCATTTCTTCCTAAGGAGTGCTGCCTTGCTTTTCGTTGCAAACAATTCCCCTCCCACACTTTTCCTCGCCCTCATTTGCTCCGGCTTTTGTCTCTGCGTGCATGTGGTGTGGTTGTGCGTGTCTGTGTGTGTGAGAGTGAGGGTGTGTGTGGCTCCGTGTGTGCATCGTGATGTATATGTGTGTTATGCGGAAATATCTGCTCCCTGCGCAGAGGTAACGGTAACCCCATCTGGAATTTCCGCGCCCACAGCTCCAACCAACGCACCATCCATATTCTCCTCTGTTGCAGCCGCCACATCCGCACCCAACCCTGCCAGCAGCAGCACCACCAACGCTACCACACCCAACCCCTCTGCTGCTGTATCGCCCAACCCCACCACTTGGCCTTCAACTGCCACCATCACCACTCCCACTTCCACCCGCACTCCCTCCTCCTTCCCTTCTCTCCCCTCCTCCCTCTCCTCTTCCTTCCCCTCCTCTCTCTCCTCCTCCACCCCCTCCTCCCTCTCATCCACTCACTCTAACCTCCCCACCAACACCCCCACCACCTTCCCCACCAGCAACCCCACCACCACCCCAGTCGCCAACCCCCTACCCACCGACACCCCTCTCCCTGGAGGCTCCTCCCAGCCTTCGTCCAGCCCTGGAATGCTGCTGGGCGTTGCTGGTAACGCGGTAACCGATGCCGCTCTGCAGCTGCTGCGGGGGATCCAGGGGGCTCTGCCTGGGGCTGGGGGCTCTAGCAGCAGCAGCAGTGCTAACAGTGGTGGCACTGGCCCTCCCGGTGGTACTGGAGCAGCCTTCCCTGCAGCTTCTCAGCGTGGTTCTGGGGGAGGTGTTGACTGGACAGCTGCATTGCCGCTCCTCCAAACCCTTCTACAGCAGGCCACAGGTGGTGGTGCCAGCCAAGGCCGGGCTGGAGGATCAGGTTCGGGACCCCGAGGGAATGGTGGTAATGGTGTTAATGGTGGAAGTGGTGGCGGTGCAGTGGTTAATGTAGATTTGAATGCTTTGCTGCCTGTGGCGCAAGCTCTTATGGGGGCGGCGACAGGGGGGCAATCAGGAGGGAATGGGAACCAGCTGGACCTTGGAATGTTGATGAATCTGGCAGATGCTCTTGGGGGAGCTGTGCTGGGTAATCCATAAGTAGTGTAAACATGTTAATGGTTGGTGATGTTAGCGTAACGGCCTTCGATTCGCAAGTAGGGTTGAATGCTTGATTGTATACACCATCGTTGAAGCAAATTAATTTTGTGATACATGAAGCGCAGACCATATGTGAAGAACACGTCCATAAAGCTATAGCCCCCTCAACTAGAAGCATACTAGTGCAGTGAAGAGAAATCGTTTGCTAACAACTTGCTAATAAAATGTTATAACATTCACATATTATACTATGAAAGTGTTCCCAATGTGGCTGAATATGTCCCCTGGACAATAATGCGACCCAGTATCTCATCAGTACAGGTCATATGCCTTGTAGACGACCCCCTTTTACGCCCAGGAGTATTCCACAGGCATTTTATCCTTAAGGGCCACTCCTTGTACGCAAAGTGTACCCGTCTCAACTGAACAGTAAATTAGAGAGCCAATTCGGCTGATCCAAGGCCGTCCAATCAGTTTGCTCCTGCGTTTCCAGAGCGACGACACCTAGTGGTCGGTGAGCCTCTAAAAATCAAGATGTATCAGGCTTGCCAACCAATGTCGAGGCAAAAATCCACATGATGCACTAGATACGACCAGCTCGCTGACGGTCCAGTAGAATTACGCTAGCAACGCCAACGGAATCCGTCAGCGTTGCCCCAGAAAAATCCGTCCACCCACAGCCAATACGAACACGCTAAGGAAGCAATTGAGGGGTCCCAACATCATTCCCCCCGCCTGTAATGCAGACACCCTGGGGTTATTTGTATGCCCCAAACAGCGACCTCTTCATGACACAAGGAACGAGCCCGCCACACCCACGAGGTCGTCCACATGGCACCTGTACGCCGAACTGCGCTCTCCGTCAGGCAGAAGGTTGCAATCTGCAAGTACGCCAAGAAGAATCCGACCTTGCGGATCGAAGACATTGGGCGATGGTGCCATTCCAGATACGGCCTCTGGCCGGATCGCAACACAGTCGGCCGAGTTCTGCAAACACACCAGAAGTGGCGGGCCATCGGGCCCGAACGTGCCAAGTTCAAAAGGGTGCGTAACCCACACTGACCTTTACTAGAAGCTCGATTTAAGAGGTGGCTGAAAACCACAAATGGTGCTGGCTTGCCAGTCTCGACGGCTCTAATCCAGCAGCGCGCGATACTGCTAGCACCGGAGTGCAACGTGCCTAGCGAGTTCAAAGCTTCTATGGGATGGGTTCAGAAAGCATTGCGCCGAATGGGATTCAAGTGGCGTAAGATGAGCGGCGAGGCAAAGTCTGTCGACGAGGGCGCTGCTCTGACCGCGCAACTACATTTCCCGAGGCTGTGCGACCAGCTTGGCTTGACCCCGGAGAACCTGTTCAACTTCGACAAGACCTGCGTCTAGTACAATCTCCTACCCGATTACACGTTCTACATCGACCCAACCCGGGGCAAGAAGGTCTGCAAGGACCGGCTTGCAGTCGCGCTGCTAGTGAATGCGGACGGCTCGAAGCTTTTCAAGCCGCTAATCATTCATAAATTTGAACGGCCCCGTTGTTTCGCAAAGCAGAAATTTGACCCTGCGAAGTACTGCTACTAGCGCGCGAACATCTCCGGATGGATGACGGCAGAGGTATGTGCCTCGATTTCCATCGCTTGCATGCAACGTGTCGTAATCTGTCCGATGCAAAATGAGGCGTGCGACAGTAAAAATAATCAGCTAACAAGACAATCATCCCATACGCCCTGCGCAGGTTTTCACGACGTTCTTTGAGCACATGAACGCGTGCTGCATGGCGGAAGGACGACGCATCGTCGTCATGCTCGACAACGCGCAAGTGCTTCTGGAGGATGCGAATGATGCCCGCCAGCTGGCAGCCGCTGCTACCTCTCCTCGGCGCCACTTCTGAAGAGCAGGAGCCCTGGCTAGAGCTTGAGATCGAGCCGGAGCAGCAGATCATGAGCGCCTTGCTTTTCGGCTCGGGCGATATGATTTCCGCCGCTCGCTTCGTCTCCGCCGAGCGTGATGACGACACGAGCGAGCCGACCAGGGTGGATCCGCTTGAGGTGGAGCCGCTTGGCCCGGCCCAGCGGGATGCGTGGTGGGCGAACGCGCCTCCCCCCCCGGCTCCGAACGACTCAGCGCGGAACCGTCGTAATCTCTCGCGCATGGCGACAGAGATACTTACTGGCTACGCCAAGTCCATTGGCTTGGTGCCGCGCGATCTACGAGTGTTGTTCGACATCCGCGAACTTGCGGTTATTGATCGCCTGGAGCGCGCATCCCCCCGCCTGGACACTAACAATGCGCCCGGCGCGGCGGAGGAAGAGTACCTCAGTCATGTCGGCGGAGCCACTGCAGTTATGACCGGATATCCAGACGCGGGCGAGTGGATGACCTTTGGTGCGTAGCCCGCTACCTATCGCGGGTACTAGGTGGTTAAGTGCTGTACATGGTTAGGCGGTTAATTATGGAGTTCGGGTTGGCGCGTGTATGTGGAGGTGCGAGCAGCCTTGTGCTCTGCCTATGACCTTAGCGGCGAGGTGGTTGTGCTCTGTTGCACGGAGTTGGGTAGAGTCGGTCAACGTAAGCATGTTTTTTCGGTCGGAGTGTTATTTCGAGTCTATTCTAGTATCGAGTGCTGTCTTTGTTGAGGCAATTTTGTTTGTTGCCTAATTATAGTCCATGATTGTCACCTGCGGAATCAATGCTGACATTCTCTTGAAACGCAGAGTTGATACACCTGTGGATAGGCTTGCGACGTGGCTATGTTTACTCAGTCGCAGCATACGCCAGTCAAGCCACCCATGCACAGTACACAAAAAACAACGTCCCATTTTCTGGGGAAACCCGATAGTCCACGTTGCCCCTACCGTACGGCCAGTATTCGTTAAAAGGGAAAACTGCCGCATCGCCCCCCGGGTGGTAAGGGAATATGATTTGTACTCGGAAAATGATTGGAACCGTGCCTGCACTCAGCTTATCACTTGGCGGGTCAAGTTTTGTGGCAGGTGGCACGCTGGAAGCATCTTGTCAGCCATTTCCTGGTCTGCCGTCAATCCGAGGAGCCAATCCTTGATCTTTGCGACTCGGACTGAGGTCGCGGAGTGCAGACCTCATCTGGCCATGGTCGGGGCAGCAGGGTGAAGGGCTGCGACGAAGCCGATTGGTGCCGCCAAAGTCTGTGGATGGTCGGATTGGCTGGAAAAGAGCATCTTCCCGCCGATTCTCGCTTGCCTGGATTATCGACCTGTATAGAGATCCCGAAATTTGCCCTTCGCAACCCAGCTCGGAAAAAAATTGAGCGGGCAGTACGATACTAGAAAGCCCGAATATTTTTTGCTCGTACACCGCTCGTCTCGTGTTCTGATTGGTTGCTCGTACACCTTTCGTACACTCATTCACCTTTCGTGAATGGGTGTCATATGCCTACAGTTGTTACAAAGAAGAGCCTGAATATTTTTCTGCCGCCAGCATCTAGGCGTTGGCGGCTGCAGAGGGACTGCCGCCAGGTGCACTTCACCTGTCAGGGACAGTTGTGCGATTCCTACCGTGGCCTCGCAAGAACGACGCTGATTGGGTGTTATACTTCCAAGGCAGTGGAATTTGCTCGTGAGCTGCCGCCGAAGCGTGGGGGTGACGACGACGAGGCCATGGCGGCCGACGGGTTTGCGTGAGGGAGCCGAAGTTCGAGCCGCATTTTCCGGTGACCTCTCTCTCGCCATCAGCTTGGCCCACAACCTCCCCAGAGGGTTGAACGGGCATGCAAGTTGCAAGCCACCGAGCAGAAATCCGCGCTAAGCTGAGAAAACAAGGAGTCGCAAGCATGTTTGCGAAGCTGCGACGTCGTTCGGTAAGATTAGGCTCGGCAAGAAAATTCTCCCACCCCTTTCGACTGGCGGCTTTCTGTTATGCGGCTGCGACGAAAGAAGGCGGCATCGCGTAGTTTTCGGCTGACGGTGCCCCTCCCATCATGCTGAGTCGCGGGGACCCACATTCACCGGCCAACCGCCAAGCGGACAAAATTCCGCCCCCCATACCCCAATCTCACGCCATTTCCCCCTGGTCGTCATCGTCAGCCAATTGCGGTCTGCCCGTGCCTCGACAGCAGAGCCCACATCATTGCCCTCGGCGCATCATCTGCCTTCCTGGCACAGCACGAATTCCCACAATCATCGAATCGCCTGAAACTTTTCCCTTCTCCCCATTCCCTCACACGCGGCTTCCCCCACCCAAGCCTCCCCCTTCCCCCTCACAACAACCACCCTTTCCCCCATCGCCGCTCCAGGTTGACGGAATATCCTTTCCCTGCTGCCTCACCCAACCACACACGTGTTCTGCATTCTGAACCAATCACAATTGTTCGCGCGGCTTGCACCTCGCCCTGATTGACATCGTCGCCCTGTCAAACCAACCAAACCAACCATCTCAGCTCAAACCATTCCCAAGGAGGTCGCCCTCGTAGAACCTTCCGCTCCGCAGCGCAACGCGCGTCCATTCGTGCAACCCCCCGTCAGCCCGCAAATCCCCCCGACCTGCGTGCGGAATTCCCCATGTGCCCCCCTGACATCCCCCCATTCGTTCCAGCGCTGGACCAGCAGCAGCATCTTTTCCGCCTATTCGCCCGCCTTTGGTCGATCCCACCTGGCCCGTGACGGCGTCACTTCCCCGTCTCCCATTCGCCACGCCGCCAGCCGTCAACGCGTCAATGGGACGAAATTCTCTTCACTCAACACCCACCGCCATTTCCCACCCTCCCCTTCCCCTAGCAAGCACTTCCTTCCTCCCCGCTTGCCGAGTAAAGCTCTCCTTGACTCCCCCTCAGTTCCGTGGGCTGCCTGCAGCACGCAACCGCACCCCACCCTACCAGCCTTCAACTTCACTCTCGTCTTCCCAGAGATGCATCTCAACTTGTGGTCCCTAGAGCTGCCAGGCCCGATCCACTGTACTGCAAACTCAAACCCTCTCATCTCAGATGCTTTGCTCCAGCCTAGTATTCCCAAGTATCACCAAATCTTCACACCTTGCTCAGATAAGCTACCGTTTGCCTTTTTCCCGTCCCCTGATCAAGGTTCCGCTAGCGTTTTCCAGGTCTTGAAATTCCTTTAGATAACTCTCTTGTTGTATTGGTTCTTAGATCTCGTCACTGCCGCTGATCACAAACAGTTCGCATCATGGCGGGTCTTTCGCTAGATCTCTCCCTCAGCCTCCTGCCCTCTGCTCCCTCGTCGTCGCCTGTTGAGGCCATCACAAACCTTCGCGACGCTCTCTCCAGCCCGCGGAAGGCGAAGCGTCACTGCCTAACCGATCTTCGTCAATCCGATCTCCAATCAAACCCTCACCGCCAGCCGCATCCGTCGCACGTCGTCGCGCTTCCCTCGAGGCACCTTCCGTCGTCGGGCCTGTCGCTAGCAAGCAGCCTTGACGCGGAACCCGTCGCCGCGCCCGTCGCAGAATCCGTCGCCGCGGTGTCGCAGAGGGGTAACGTGAACTCCTCTTTCCATCTCCTCGACTCGTCTCCCTCGTCGTCTCCCCCGTCGACCGGCTCCTTCTCCCCCGCATCCCGCGCTCCCTCCGCCTTCACCGCTCTCGCAACCCTTGCGCACGCGCCGCCGTCGCACTGCCTGCCGGCGCTCACCCCTCCGCCTCCCTCAACTCCGCCGCCGCCCGCTTATCAGCACCGCGGCTGGTTCGGTTCCGCCAACCCCCCCGCAAGCTGCCCCCCCGCCAGCTGCCCCCCCGCCGTGGGAACCGCCTGCATGACTCGGCTAACGATGCCGCCCTCCGCTTCTCCCGCCGCCCTTCCCGCGGCGCGACTCGTCGCATCGAACTCTCAGCCGTCGGGTGCACCGCGTGCTCCACTTGCGCTAGTTGCGGCGGCTCCTGCGGCGGCGTCTGCGACACTGTCGGTCAGCCGGGAAGGGGGAGCGACGGCAGGTCCCGCCCCGCCTCCTCCGCACCCGGTTGTCATGGGCGCTGCGGCAGGAGCGTTGACGGCGCCGACCGGGGCTCCGATAGCGGTGGCGGCGGCGGCGGCGGCGGCGACATCGGGTCCGAAGAAGCGGAAGAGCATGAAGGACCGGAGGTTCCGTGGAATTCGCGAGGTAAGGGAGATGGTATATGCTTCGATCTAGCGGGATGTTATTGCAAGATCGAATTAATTGTTCGTCACGTGCGTGCGTCGAAAGATCGCTGGATTCGAGTTCGGATCTAGCGTCATGTGTCTGCTAATTATTTCTCTCTCGAACAGAATAGTTCTGCTCTCTTGGCCTTATGCTTGCTTGTGCCTTATATCCCTATCTCCGTGTCGATTTCCCGCCCTATCCTCTCTGTTTCGCAGCGTTTGTGGGGTCGTTGGGCCGCGGAGATTCGGGATCCCCGAACCAAGAAGCGGATCTGGCTCGGCAGCTTCGACACTGCCGAGGCTGCGGCCCGAGCCTACGACGCAGCCAACGTCCGGCTGCGAGGAGCCAACGCCCGAACCAATTTCCCTCAGCCTGAGCAACTGGGTGCCTCGGAAAACAACCCTGCCGAACCTGGACAGAACCAGGCTCTGCCGAACGTGGGCTCCAGGCTCGGGGAGCCAGGGAGTCCAACCGCGGGGTCAAGCTCGGATGGTGGCGGCGACAAAGTCGCGGGTGAGGAGCCGTACGCGTTACAAGAGGAGGCGGATGTGGTCGCGGCGGCGGACAGCCTGTCTCTGCTCGCCGCGGCTGCGCTTGCGGAAGACCCTGCGCCCGCGCCGGCGCCCGCTCCCGTGCCTGCGCCTGCGCCTGTGCCTGCAGGTCGGGCCACAAATGGCGCGCCGATTTCCCTGAGTGCTACACCCGCGGCTGTAGCCTCAGGGCCGACGCCGGCCGCGCGAGCAGCACCTGTAGCAGCGCCAGCAGCAGCGCCAGCGGCAGTGTCTCTTTCCCCTGCGGCGACTATGGCTCCTCGTCCCACCCCCATCGCCCCAGCTCCCGTGCAGTATCCTCCGGGGCAGCCTGGCCCATACCCGTTTGTTGCTGTCGCGCCTTGGCAGTTCAGTTCGCAGCGCAATCCTCACCAGTTCATTAACAATGTACAACAATTCTCGCACTCGCCTCAGTTTTCTCACTCCGGCCAACCGACCTACTACCATGCGGCTCCTCCAGTCAACTCCCACCCCCCTCCTCACTCGCAGCAGCCGGCCCTAGCCGTTCCAGCTACCTCCCCCTACCCCACCTTCCCAGGCTCCTGGGGGCACAACTCCAACGCACCACCGCAGTTCCAGCAGCACCTCCCCCCTCTTTCCGCATCAGCCCCCGGCCCTCACGTGCCTCTCTCCGCTCCCGCGTCCGCCGCGCTTGCTGCTGCTGCAGCCATGCCGTCGCACCACTCCCCCGCGCCGTTCCCAGGCTCTCAGCACCCGCCTCCTCCCCCCGCTGCTGTCACGCCACGCACTGTCGCATCGCACAAGGCGGCGCCTCTGATGGGGCTGCTGCAGTTGCCCAAGTCCCTGACGACCGGTGCTGTTCCAGCAGGTCAGCAATCAGCTCTAGCTCCTGTGACAACAGCAGCACCACCTGCTGCACCTGGAGGCGTTACAGCAGCATCAGGAGCAGGAGGAGGAGGAGCAGGAGCAGGAGGAATTGTTTCCTCTGGTCCTGTGTGCAGGTCTCTGGTTCCTCAGGACCAGTCGCCGTGCACGTCTGTCCCTCCGTCGGCCTCCCTGCCCTCTCACTCCTCCAGCAGCAGCAGCTACGCCGGAGGCTCGGGTGCCGACCAGTGCACGGCTGCGTCTGCTGATGCTGGCACTGCTGGTGCTTCTGCTGGTGACGGTTCCCCTGCTGCGGCTGGTGCTGGGGCTGACAGTGCTGCACAGGGTGTGAAGAGCGCTGAGAACAAGATGAAAGAGGGTCGCACTCGGCTGTTCCGCGGTGTTCGCCAGGTAACTTCCTCTACCGACCTTTTTTTTCCTTTTTTTTTTCTAGATGTATTCTTGCCTGTATACCGTTCATGGCTGGTGTTTGGGTTTCTTGTCCTGACATTATCTGTCCCACGGTTTTTTCTCCGTTCCTTGCAGCGTCCGTCTGGAAAATGGGTGGCTGAGGCTAGGGACCCCCACTCGCGCCGTCGCATCTGGCTTGGAAGCTTTAACACCCCTGAGGAAGCGGCTCGGGCTTATGATGCCATCTCAAGGAAGTTTAGGGGTTCTGCTGCCAAGTGCAACTTCCCTGAAGCTGAGGGGGCGTTGGACAACAATGCAGCCTTGACTGAGCTGATGGATGTGAGGGGCCGCTCGATAGCCCAAGCGGCATTGACTTTTGAGCGGTATGGCCCTGGTGGAAGAAAGGCTACGTACAGAGACCCTGTGCTGATGCAAATTGCCGCCCCAAACAGCCATAACTGATACTGATATTTGAGATTTTATGGGAATGGTTGACCGTAACCACCCTGATTTAGGTGCATACCTGTGCCAACTGGGGAGACGTTTGAAATTCACCTGTGCTTATAATCGGATGAAATTTGCAAGTGCATGCATGAAAAAACACATAACAAGAGAAGTGTTCGAAGGGAGGGATCTTCATAGGGGCCAAGTGAACTACACGGGCCTGGCGACGTTGCTGTAGCTCGTGCAGGAGGAAGTACTGCAGCTGGATATGCTTCGCCCTGCCCTCAAGACGAGGCTCCAGACACAGGAGGATCATGGTCCTGTTGTCAGCGTACAAGACCGGGGCAGAGCTAGGCCGCTCACCTAAGTCAGCGAGCAAGAAGGTCAGCCAGCGGAGCTCCTGTGCCGCCATGGCACCAGCGTAGATCTCAGCCTCACAGCTGGATTGAGCAACAGACGACGAGCGAGTGGATCTCCAAGAGATAGCACCCGAACCAAGGCTAAAGCAGTAGCCCTGAGACGACCTGAGAGTCTCAGAGTCGTCTGCCAAAGAAGCATCTGTATGCGCAGTGAGGACCACCGGCCCGCGTCCTCCTAGCACTAACCCCATGCCCGATGTACTAGCAAGATAACGCAAAACCCTCTTAGCGGCCGACCAGTGCTGTGGCCGGTGTCTGCCAGTGGCCACAAAGCGAGCCAGGATGCTGAGAGGGTATGCAAGATCTGGGCGAGTGCAAGTCATCAGGTACATGAGGCAACCCACCAGCTCTACGTGGGGTCCACTGGGCTCTAGTGGCTCCTCAGGAACTGGAGCAGAGAGCCCATGGTCTACAGGTAGATTTGTGGGTTGTGCGGAGGAGAACTGAAGACCGAACCTCCGAAGGACCTGACGCACCAAGTGTGACTGTGCCAGAGTGATGGTGCGTGCTGCTCTGTCCCTAAAGATCTGCAAGCCAAGGTAGCGACGCAGTTCTCCAAGGTCAGTGCAGGTGTGTCTCTTCAGCAGCTCGGCCTTCACCGAGGCCAGTGCGTCCCTGTCAGCAGTAGCAAAGACCAGGTCGTCTACGTAGACAAGGATGTAGAACGGAGTCTGGCCATAACGCACAAACAGCGAGGGGTCAGTAGAGGACGGAAAGAACTGCAAGTCTGCTAACGTGGCACGTAGCGTGTCGTGCCACTCGCGAGGAGCCTGACGCAGGCCGTAGACCGGGCGCCGGAGAAGCCACTGGGTCCCAAGGGGGAAGATACCAGTGAAGCCCTAAGGTCGACGCAGGTAGACCTACTCGTGTAGGCTGCCCTGAAGAAAGGCATTAGAGAAGTCGAGAGAGTGAAGCTCGTAGTCGCGCTCAGCTGTTACGTGTAGCAGCGCCTGAAGAGTGGTCATCTTCGGGGTCGGGGTGAAGGTCTGGAAGAAGTCAACCCCCTCGCGCTGGCTGAAGCCTCTGGCCACGTAGTGCGCCTTGAAGACAGGCGGCTCTTCAGGGGGGCGCTTCACCTTGCAGAGCCACCGACCATCGACTACGTTCACCCCAGGCGGGGGAACTATGTCGACGTAAGTGCCGGTGGACCTCCAAGATGCCATCTCCTGCCCCATGGCAGCTATCCACTGAGAGGCCCAGGGTCCCAAGGTGGCCTCAGCGTAGGTGCGAGGGGTGGGGATGTCGAAGGCGTCTGGGTCACCCTCTGGGACTAGGAGCATGGAGCAGAGATGGGGAGCGGCCTCGGAAAGGAAAGCAAGCTCGTACTGCCTATCCTGTAGTACGTCATTGCCATGGGCAGGTGCACCCCCGACGGACGCAGGACGGGCAGGGTAAGAGACCAGAGCGGTAGCGTAGTCAAGGCGACGGGTAGAGGTGAAGTCAGCGACAGCAGCGACAAGCGAGTCAAGGCGAGAGACAGGAACAGACGGGTCTGTAACAAGAGAGGCAAGGACCCGAGGGACAAGGGGACGAGCGGCACGGAGGTAGTCAGACAGTGGGGGAGGTGCAACAACAAGAGACGAGGGAGGAGGCGAGGGGAGGAGGGGAGGACGAGACAAGTGAGAACGGAGTAACATAGGGTGGGAGCGCGGGACAGGGGAGACGTGACGAGCATGTGTGGGACGGCGAGACCAAACGTGGGAAGGAGGTGTAGGGTCAGGAGACAGCGGAGGGGACACAAGAGGGGAACGAGGAGGAAGACGGGCCAGAGAAGAGTCCGGGGGCGGGAACATAGGGCCGTAGACAGGAAGGTGAGGAGGAGGTGGGGGGGACACCTGCGAGCGGTCAGGGGAGGGAAGGCCGAGCAGTCGAAGAGCGGAGACCGGCGGCGACGACTGCGGCGGCTGCGGCGGCGGCTGGTGCTCGACCCTGGAATCGGCAGGGGCACGACGACCTCCGGGAGAACACTCAACAGCAGCACCCCCAGAACCAACACCCCCAGAGCGAAAACCCTCCCCAGCCCCAGCGGCACCCCCAGGCCCGACGGGACAGACCACGCGAGGAGCCGTAGGACGAACACCCTCCGCAGCGCTAGCACCCCCAGAGGCCAAGAGTGGCAGCGGCGGCGGCTGCGACGGCGGCGGCGGCGACGACGGCGGCGACTGCGACAGCGGGGGCGGAGACACCAGGGAAGGAGGACGCGGCAAGGGCAGGCCAGGGGAGCCACCAGAGTCAGAAGACTCCTCACCAGGAACAAGTGACGGGAGGGGAGTGACATGGTAGAAGGAGACAGACTCGTCAAAGGTGACGTCACGAGAGTGGAGGAAACGGTGAGACTGCGGGTGGTAGAAGAGCCAGTCAGACGAGTCAAGGGGGAACCCAAGGAAGACACAGGGGACAGTGCGGGCAGTGAGCTTGTCCGTGCCAGAGGCATGAACGTGAGCAAAGCAGCCCCAGTCGTGGAACGCAGACGCGTCACCGGGGGACCCGGTCCAAAGGAGGGTCGGCGAAACCTGCGGCTGCTGGGAGCGTGGCCACAGGTTAAGCTGGTGAGCGGCGTAGCGAACGGCGAACGACCATAGAAAATGGGGTGCACCGGCATGGATCATGGAGGTACGAGCCACCTCCATGACCAAGCCGATGCGGCGCTCAGCAACCCCATTCTGCTGTGGCGAGTCCGGCAAGGTGTACGACTGGGTGATGCCCTCCGTACGACAGAACTGTCCAAGCAGACCAGAAGCGAACTCTCCGCCACGGTCAGAGTGGAGACAAAACACGGGGAGACCGCGGTGAAGACGCGCAGCCACAACCCACTGGAGAAGAACGACGGGCACGTCGGCATTCCGCTCCAGGGGAAACACCGTGGTGTAGCGCGTGTAGTTGTCGACGAGCACAAGAAAGTAGCGCTCGCCACGCGGTCCGGGGACGGGGGCTGGTTCGCAAACGTCCAGGTGCAGGGTCTGAAGGGGAGCAGTGGCAGGGCGAAGCGAGGAGGAGTGAGGGGCACGGCGGAGCCGGCCCTCGACGCAGGGCGTGCACGGTGGAGCAGGTGAGAGGGGAAGGGCGGGGAGCGATGCAGGGAGGCCTAAGACAAGACCGTGCTGGGACATGTGACGCAGATGCCGGAGTGCAGGGTGACCTAGGCGGTGGTGCCACAAAAGGGACGGGTGAGTGAGAGACCGACACGAGCAAACTGCAGTGACCTGGGAGGACACACCAACTGGGGGGGAAGCGGTGTCTAGGGTGAACAGTCCGGACACCGGGTCCCGGGGGAGCGTAGCAAGTGGGGAACCGGAGACGGCCTCAGAACAGACAGCGAAACGCTCGTGCCCGGGGAACGTAGTGGTGACGCCGAGGTCCTGCAGACAGCCGACACGAACCAGGTTCCTCGAGAACGAGAAAATGTGGAGGCCTGTAAGAGAGCCCGAGGGAACTGCTGGACAGGGAAGGGACGTGGAACTGCGAGCGACGACGGGACCCACAGAGGGGTCAGCGAGAGAGACAACAGCAGGTGCAGCAAGCGGCGAAAGCGTGGAGCGGTCGCGGAAGAAACAGGCAGAAGCACCGGAGTCGAGAATGAAGGACAGCGAGGCAGTGGCGGAGGCTGGGAACGGAGCCGGTGCAGAACCTAGGCTCGGCAAACGAGGCAGTCCTACGCCTGACTCAGCAAGGGAGGCTAAGCTACACAAAGGTGAGACACCTAAGCTAGAGTACACAGGGTAATAAGATCCACCAACACTAGAAGCGTCAGCATAGAAAGCATGCAAAGCAGCACCTATCTGATCCATATCTAACTCAAAGATCAGCACGCCCTCGCGAAGCAGGCTGTGCCAGTCGGGGAGGTCCGGGGCCGGGCTGAAGCGACGACGAAAGAGATCGTCGAGGCGGCGGAAACAACGGGCGGTCGGGAGCGGGCAGGGTCACAGAGTGCCGCGGAGAGGCCCGGTCTGAAGCTGGTACTGGCAGGTCACAGCACTGGAGGTGCCGGTAGACGCCAAGCTGCGCGGGCCACCACCTCGGCAACCACCGCCGGAGGTGCCAGGCCAACCAGGTGGGAGACGAGCCCACGGTTGCGACGGCTGCTGCTGGGACGGCGGCGGCTGCTGCTGGGGCTGCTCCAGCTGCGAAGGCGACTGCGTCTGCTCCTGCCCACCAGTGGTAGTCCCCTCAGCTGGACTACCGTCACCACCACTACTACCACCACCACTAGTGCTACTACCACGACCTCCCTGGCGGCCACGGCCAGCGCCACGCCCACGGCCACGGCCACGACCTCCCTGGACCGCAGCAGCCGTCTCGGTAAGAGGGGTCGCAGTGGCGACCACAGCCGAAATGTCAGTAAACGTGCACTGGGAGGGGGCACAGCCGTGAAAGGTAGAGACTGCCGGCGCACCGCTCGACTGAGCGATAGTGCGTTGGCGCGTCTCGATCTCGGTGAGGGTGTCGACAAAGGCGGTCAGTGTGAGGTCACCCGGGTGCTGGCTAAGGAAGCGGTCGCGGGCACTAGCTAGGCGGTCCGGCAGGCGCATGGTGATAAAATAGAGGGTCATGCAGAATGGGGGGGGGGGGGGGGGCGCAGTGAGCTGGGCAGCAGTGCTGGCAGTGCGATAGCGAGTCTCTAAGGCACACAAGTGAGTGGCAAAGTCTGCGACAGTAGGGAAGGCAGCAAGGTCTGGGAACAGCATCGGGAAGAGCAAGCGGCCGGCAGAAGCGGATGCAGGTGTGGAATAGCGAGCAATAACAGCGTCTAAATAAGCTTTGGCCGTATCAACTGTAGCGAAACGCGAGCGCTCAGACACAGGGAGGGCGTGACTGATAGCAACCTGAGCTACTGCATCGCGTGAGTCCCAGACCGCACACGCAAGCGCAGCAGAAGAGAAAGCCTCACTCTTAGCGGAGGTGGGGTCAGAAGGAAGGGGAGCAGGTGCAGGGGGGTGGGCGAGCAAGCCATCAGCATGGACAACCAGCGAGTGTCCATCCTGGCGTTGACCTATAAGCTGACGGCGGAGATCGGAGAGCCAGGCGATGAAATCAACCGCGTGGCCCTCAGCGTCCAGGCGGAGCACGAAGTCAGCCATCGTGCAGGGCTAGCGACACAGCTCCTCAGCGACACAGCGGCACAGCTCCACAGCTCGGCAGGAGCACAGCCGCACAGGGACACGGCGGCATCACTCTCCAGTACGGCGGCTGCGGGGCGCCCCAGCGCGGGCTAGCAGAGGACACAGGGCCCGAGGTGGCACGGCACGCCGGGCAGGCACGAGGAGGGGCCGGGCTGGCAGGTGGAGGGCCGGGCGGGCGCACTGGGACCGGGCGGGCGCTTGGAGGGGCCTAGCACTCGCGGGGCGGCCGGGCAGGCGCGACTGGGGGCCGAGCGGGCTCGAGGAGGGGCCAGGCGGGCGCTGCTGGGGCCGGCTAGGAGCGGGCTCGACGGTCAGTGGGCCGGCCAGGAGCGGGCGCGTGGGGCCAGGGGGGGGGGGGGGGCAGCTAGGAGCGGGCGCGACGGCCAGTGGGGCCAGCTAGGGGCGGGCGCGAACGGCCAGGGGGCCGGCTAGGAGCGGGCGCCAACGGCCAGGGGGCCGGCTGGGGGTGGACGTGACGGCCAGGGGGCCGGCTAGGGGCGGACGTGACGGCCAGGGGGCCGGCTAGGGGCGGTCGCGACGGCCAGGGGGCCAGCTAGGGGCGAACGCGACGGCCAGGGGGCCCACAAGGGGCGGACGCGACGGCCAGGGGGCCAGCTGAGGGCGGACGCGACGGCCAGGGGGCCAGCTAGGGGCGGACGCGACGGCCAGGGGGCCGACTAGGGGCGGACGCGACGGCCAAGGGGCCAGCTGAGGGCGGACGCGACGGCCAGGGGGCCGACTAGGGGCGGACGCGTCGGCCAAGGGGCCAGCTAAGGGTGGACGCGACGGCCAGGGGGCCGGCTAGGGGCGGACGCGACGGCCAGGGGGCCGGCTAGGGGCGGACGCGACGGCCAGGGGGGCTGACTAGGGGCGAACACGACGGCCAGGGGGCCGACTAGGGGCGAACGCGATGGCCAGGGGGCCAGCTAGGGGCGTGTTGGTGCAACCCTATGGCTTGCACTCGGGTTGTCGTCCTTGTTTGTGTGTGTGCATTCATGGCATGGAATGAATTGTGAGTCTATGTCATTGCTATCTAGTGTTTGTGTGTGTGTTTGAATGGTGTATCACAATGTGGTTTGTGTCGGTCAAGACATTAGCGAGTTTTTACAACGCGCATGTCTAGTCGTCGTTTGCGTGTCGCATGTGTTTTTTCTATTTTGTCGGGTGTGAAGTGTCCATCGCGTCGCAGGTGTGTGCAGTAAGCCCCCATCAACTTAAGAAGAATTTATCTTGCAGAAGCAAGACCAAGAGCTCAAGATTTCAAGCCCAAGGGACACAGATAAATATTAAATAGTGAAAATAGTAATGCTACTTCAAGTGGTGTTAGATTTCACTTGGTGTAGCCCCTTGGAGGGTTTGTTTCGAGACTCTTCATGGTTGGGGACTCTGTGGTGGTGTACCACCAACCAGGATCTTGGCTCTTGGGGTATGTAGAGGCTGGGAACCATCTCCATCTCGAACTCTTCTTGCTAAGTTTGTACTCCTAAGACTTTAGTGGCTGCTGTACCTCCTGCCAGTCAAACCGTCATAGCGTCGTCAAATCTTCATGGAATTTTATGATTCAACTTGCTGCTGATAGGCAACAGCAACGCGCTCCAGATCCAATTTAGAGATCACCGTTTGATGCATAGAGTTCGGCATCAATATTTGAAGCTGTCTGACGGAATTCTGACTGTGCACAATTTCTCTCATTTTAGGCACATTTGAGCCTATTGTGATTATAACAAGTGGTATCAGAGCCCCTTGGAGCCGTCTCGACCATGCGTAGACCTGAGGAAGAGGGTGGCAGAGGTGCTGGAGGCAGAGAATTCGCCCAAGCACAAGGTCAACACCAAGATCCACCCGTTGCTCCGGTGCAACCTAGCCTTGGACCCTCTCGGGATGAGCCTAGAGTGTTTGGCCTTGACAAGTTCAACGGTGACAACTTTGCTGAGTGGTCCTTCAAGATGGAGAACATCTTTGACCACTATGATCTGCTGGAGGCGATGGAAGGAACGGAGAAGCGCCCCGAGAACGACCCGGAGAAGAGCCCGTGGGTGCGGAAGAGCGCACAAGGCTACCTTCTCCTTGGGCAAGCGTTGGGGAGCAGCCAAATCCGTCACATCAAGCCTTTTCAGTGTGAACCAGCAAAGGGACCAAAGGCATGGGCTGCTCTCAAGGGTGTACATGCTCCTGCAACAGCGGCGGTGGCTGTGGTTTTGGAGCGGCAAATGGCGGCACTTCGAACTGACAAAGGCGAACCGGTGGAGGAAGGAGTGCATAAATTCTTAGACTTGTTGACACGGCTCGAAGGAGCTGATCTGAACTACAGTGACCTTCAAAAGAAGACCAAACTGCTGGCCTTACTTCCAGACTCATGGTCCTCGCTCATCATCAACCTAAATCGAGATCTGCCCCGTCTCTCACTCGAAGATGTGAAGCGGGAAATCTTACAAGAAGATTTCCGCCGTCGCGAATTGGCGGGTCCCGATGGTGCCGGAGTTGCAAGCATGGGCCGTGGGCATGGCTGTGAAAGGGGCAGAGAGCGAGGAGGCAGATTTGGCAGCAATAACTTCAATGGAGGCCGTGGTAATGGAGGATATGGCAGCAACAACAACAACAATGGCTAGGGCGAATGCCACTTTTGCCACAAGACCGGCCACATGTGGAGAGATTGCTTCAGATTGCCTGATGGATGGACCCCTTCTCAAGGCCAAGAGGGCAGATGAGCAAGGGGAGGAAGAGGCAGAGGTCGTGGAGGCCGTGGTGGTCGTGGTAGCGAAGCGGCAAGCATGAAAGGTGGAGACGACGACAAGGACTCGAGTGAAGATCGATACCCGGGCCAATTCTTCTTTGTCTCCACGCAAGCGGCAGCTGCAGCAGGAGGTGTGGAAGGTTTTGAGGAGCCAGCTACTATGGGAAAGGTCACCCTTCAATCTCTGGACACTTGGGTGATCGATAGCGGCGCCACCTATAGCATGACACCTTGTGCGGACTTGCTCACCGAACTCGAACCGTCGCCGGTCAAGCATGTTACATCGGCTTTAGGGCAGCGAGCAGAGGTGAAAGGCATGGGCAAGGCCATGTTCAAGGGTGCTGATGGGAAGATGGTGGGCCTCAAGAACGTGCTTTGGGTGCCCAACCTTGCAGCCAACCTGATTTCTGTGTGGCGTTTGCAGAAGGCCGGCATAGACACATCTTCCAAGGGATCCAAAACCTATACCGCGAGGCTTGGTGAGCTGAAGCTTTGGGACCTTCATGAGGAAAGGGACATCTACAATGAGATGTGGCAAATCCCAGTGGTCCCCATGCCTAAGGAGAGGCACGTGGCAGCAAGCGTCAGCACCAAGAGTGAAGCGGTTGGTGGCGGTGATCACGGAAAGCAAAGTGACACCTAGAGTGACTTGAAGGAGTGCAATCTTGGAGAGACTAGCAAGGCGTATGAACCCAAGGAGAGTGGTGCAGCAGCCAAAGGTGGTGGAAATGAGGAGAAGCCAAAGTTCAGCAAAGCAGCAGCGGCGAAGGAGAAAGGAGAGAGCTTGTGGGGCACAATTGCGAGTGCCGCTTTCTCCAACCCGACTTCCGCTATGGGAGAGTGTGATTGGCTGAACTTGCATCGGCGAATGGGGCATGTGGCATTGCCCATTTTGCAGCAGATAGTTAAGCAAGAGATGGTCAGTGGGATACGTGTCAAGGGGGAGCCCAATGAGGTGCTTGGCTGTCCAACATGCATGCAAGCCAAGTTCACCCGCTACCCGTTCCATAGCTCGGAGACAACGGCGAAGGCACCACTCGATGAGGTGGTGATGGATGTGGTGGGCCCCTTGAAGCTTGGAGCTGCTGGATCAGAGTACTTCCTCACCATAATGGACGTCTACACTCGCATGACTTGGGTGTATGTGCTGCCCAAGAAGAGTGACGTAGCTGAAACGGTGAAGACCGATTGGTTGCCGATGGTGGAGCAACAACAAGACCGGCTTGTGAAGGCGATTCGCACAGACCGTGGGGGAGAGTTCCTGAGCAAGGACTTCTCAACTTGGCTGAAGAAGCAGGGCATAAGGCACTCTCTCACCATGCCCTACTCTCCTGCAATGAACGGCATCGCCGAGCGTGCGAATCGGACACTCACGGAGACGGCTCGGGGACTTCTCATTGAAGCCGGTCTACCTAATTACTTTTGGCCGGATGCGGTGCGGCATGCTTGTGTGGCCAAGAACAAAGCCTTGACTCATGTGGGAGATGACAAATAGGTGCCCTATGAGGAGTGGATTGGAAGGAAGCCGAAGGTGGATATGCTTCGGGTGTTCGGGTGCATGTGCATGGCACTTGTGCCTAAGAAACTTCGGCACAACAAGCTTGATGCCAAGGCAACATGGGCCGTGCACCTGGGCATGGCTCAAAACAGCAAGGGATGGCTTCTATGGGACCCATTTACCAAGAAGTTCTTGATGAGCAGAGATTGCACGTTCATGGAGAACTTACCATACAAGGAGTGGAAGGCGGAGAACCAAGCGAAGATTGGTGTGCGGCTTGGAGAGGTGAAGAGTACCAGCTTGGAGCATGTGGAGCTGCCCTTGGAGCTGAGTAGCAGCAGCACAATCACAAGGCAATCTCCTCAAATGAATGGGGGAGAAGAGGAGCAGGAGGTGCAGCAAGGTGATGAGCGTGCACCGTCACTTCCGCCTCGTGCTACAAGTGCTCGCGCGAACCGACCAGATTTACCGCAACGCCATGAGAGCATTCAAGTCCCTGCAGCTGAGGAGGAAGGAAGGGGGAGAAGGAAGACTCAACCCCCCAATACGTTGAGCTATGACCGGCTTGGAGGACCAGCCAACTCAACCTTGACCGGTTCAGCTCTCATGCTAGGCGATGATGCGGAGGATGAAAGCGAGGAGTGCGCTTTTGCCTTCTTCTCTCCGGTGGAGATACTGGGGGAGCCTACGAATCCCAAGGAGGCTTGGAAGGGCCCCAATGGAAAGGAGTGGAAGAAGGCCTCAGATGAAGAAATGGGGAGCATCATCGAGAACGACACCTTTGACTTGGTGAACCTACCTCCGGGGCGTAAGGCGATTTCTTCCAAGTGGCTCTTCAAGCGCAAGACCGACGCCGACGGCAACATTGAGCGCTACAAGAGCAGACTTGTAGCCAAGGGGTACCAGCAGCAGGAGAAGAAGGACTACAATGAAGTATATGCCCCTGTGGTGAAGGGTACAACCCTTCGAACTCTCTTCGCCGCGGCGGCCATCAAAGGATGGATGGTGAAGCAAATGGACATCGTAACGGCCTTCCTCAACGGAGTTTTGGAGGAAGAGACCTACATGGAGCAGCCAGAGGGATACAATGATGGGAGTGGCAGAGTGTGGAAGCTTAAGAAAGCACTCTATGGCCTCAAGCAAGCCCCTAGGCAATGGTACATCTAGCTGGGGGAAGTTTTGGAGGCAATCGGCTTCACTCCCTCAACGGCCGATCAATCATTGTTCATGCTTGGCGAGGGGGAGCAGAGGAGCTTCATGGTGGTTTATGTGAATGACATCCTCATATTCTCACCCTCCTTTGACCTTGTGAAGGATGTGATGCTGAAGCTTCAAGACAAGTTCAAGTGCAAGACCCTTGGTGACGTCAACTACTACCTTGGGCTTCACATTGAGCGAGATGTGGAGAAGCGGTGGATGCGAGTGCATCAAAAGAAGTACTTGGAGGCCTTGGCTGCAAACTTTGGGAAGAGTGAAGGTCATGTGGCTACTCCTCTTCCCTCGGGGTTCAAGTGTGTGAAAGGACCAGCGGAGGAAAGTGTTGGTGAAGAGGAGAGGCGCCGTTTTCATTCCTTGGTGGGCAACCTCATGTATGCGGCCGTTCACACAAGGCCGGATGCAGCCTTTACTACCGGGCAGCTGGCTAGGGTTGTCCAATGCCCTAATGAAGAGCAGGTAGCAGCTGGAGAGAGGGTGGCCAAGTACCTTGGCCAAACAGCAACTGTTGGAATGCAATACTCCGCGTCGGAACAAAGGCGTCAAAAGGGTGCGGATGGAGTCGAACCCGGGAGGCTCTTTCTCACTGCTTTCTCTGATGCATCTTGGGCATCAAAACCAGGGGACATGACAAGTGTGGGAGGCTTCATCTACTGTGTTGGTGGAGGCCCAACAGCTTGGGAGAGCAAGAAGCAAGTGGACCAAGCATTGAGCTCGGTGGAGTCCGAGTACATGGCACTCTTCCGTGCCATAAGAGAGGTTGTGTGGCAGCGGCGTTTGCTAGCTGAATTGGGGGAGGAGCAGCAAGGACCTACCCCACTCTATTGTGATAGCCAGGGTGCTATTGCATTGGCTAAGAACCCGGTTCTTCATGGCCTTACCAAGCACATGAAGGTGAAGTGGCATTGGGTGAGGAGCATGGTAACCTCGGGTGAAGTGGAGTTGCACTACGTGAAGACGACGGCACAGCTTGCTGATATGATGATCAAGAGGCTGGTTGAGCAGCAGCATTGAAAGTGTTGCAATCTTGCTGGGATGGCTCTGAACTAAGGGGAGCAGATTCTAAGGCCAACAATCTGAGGGGGAGTTTGTTGGTGCAACCCTATGGCTTGCACTCGGCTTGTCGTCCTTGTTTGTGTGTGTGCATGCATGGCATGGAATGAATTGTGAGTCTATGTCATTGCTATCTAGTGCTTGTGTGTGTGTTTGAATGGTGTATCACAATGTGGTTTGTGTCGGTCAAGACATTAGCGAGTTTTTACAACGCGCATGTCTAGTCGTCGTTTGCGTGTCGCATGTGTTTTTTCTATTTTGTCGAGTGTGAAGTGTCCATCGCGTCGCATGTGTGTGCAGCAAGCCCCCATCAACTAAAGAAGAATTTATCTTGCAGAACCAAGACCACCTCAAGATTTCAAGCCTAAGGGACACGGATAAATATTAAATAGTGAAAATAGTAATGCTACTTCAAGTGGTGTTACATTTCACTTGGTGTAGCCTCTTGGAGGGTTTGTTTCGAGACTCTTCATGGTTGGGGACTCTGTGGTGGTGTACCACCAACCAGGATCTCGGCTCTTGGGG